TTGAACATTACCTCCGAACATATTGTGATTACGACCAAGCCAACTGGTCCCAACTCCTAGACCTTGCAGAGTTCAGTTATAACAACTCTGTTCATGCTACAACCAAACATTCTCCCTTTGAAGCCAACTATGGTTATCACCCCAGAGATCCAACTTCCCCAGCTCTCTCTGTCAACACCGCAGTTCCATCTGTGACATCCCATATCCAAGAGCTCCAAGACCTTCACAGAGCCTTGATAACCAATATACAAAAAGCCCAAACCCAACATGCTAAATTCTACAATGAAAAGGTCAAACAAATCACCAAAGAAGGAACACCAATATTCAAAGTTGGAGATATGGTCTTCCTAAATTGTAAAAATATCCAGACTCTACGACCTTCACTCAAACTCGATCACCGAATGCTTGGACCATTCAAAATCATTCAAAGTACATCATCCCCACTTGCCTTCAAACTTGAACTTCCACCCTCAATGAATGTTCACCCTGTCTTCCATGTCAACCTGCTTGAGCCTGTGCGCTCCGGTCACCATCAACAACCTCAGGACCCACCACCACGTATTGAAGTTGAAGGACAAGAAGAATACCTAGTTGATAACATCCTTGACTCCCGCATCAGTGATGATGGAGGATATGATTACCTTGTACACTGGTCAGGATACTCCAACGCCCATGATTCCTGGGAACCTTGGGAAGAGGTCCACACTACCACCGCCTACAAAGCCTTTCGACGTAAACACTCCAAGAATCCACATCACCACTTTCCTCTTGCTTCAGCACACCGATCTTCAAAGCTAAGCAAATCAACCTGAACAACACACCTTCCCGGCTCAGAGGACTTCACCCTTAGAGAGGGAGCTCCTGTCATACATCACCTACTTGCCACCTAAGATAGTCTTTTCCCGTGTTCCCACACCTGAAACACATCTGGAACACTTCCCCTGACCCCCTTTGGCTTAGGTTTATTGTTCTTGATCTCCATCAACAATCCCTATTGTCATCTCTTACACTCCCACACATGAAACACCTACCCCTGAACCCCTGTGCCCTTAATCTATTGTTCCCCTGTGTGTTCACATGCTTGACACACTTACCCCTGGACTCCTGTGTCCTCTGTCTATTGTTCCTTGTCGCACACATGAACCTGTAACAGTTACCCCTGGACCCCTGGGTCCTTTGCCTATTGTTCGTAGTTTCACATGTCAGGATTGCCAATTCTCTTGAAGAGAATTGCAAATATGTTTAGCAGTTCTTCCGTAGCTTATTGTTGTAGTTTTGCAGTTCAGCCTGTTTTGCTGTGGATATAAACCCCCTCCAAACAGGTTGTTCCCCACCTATGGATCTTGTGTCAATCCAGTCAGTCCCAGCCTGACATCTTGCAGTCCCCTCAGTCCCCTCAGTCCCTTGTCACCCTCTGCATACTCCTCAAGCTCTACGAGCCCGAGACAAGTATTGGGTTACAGCCCCATCTCAGTCACCTTGCTTACCCTTTGGGGATAAGACCCCGCCCGTGACATCCGCCCGTGAGCGGCTTCAGCAAGAGAGAGCAGAGGTGAACCTAATCTTGAGGACAGTGGAGCCGTTTGCAAAGGATGCACGTCGTTACAACCGACCGCGGGCTCAGGAGGTGGGGATGATTGTTGTCGGTAACGAGGAGCCTGCAGGGAGACATGTGAGGGACATCCTGTTACAAGACAGAGAGAGAGGATTAGTACGGATTGATGAGCTCCATTCAGCATACTTGGCTCTTCGGTATGTTCTCATACTTCCATTGGGAAGCTCGGGATGGTCGCCAGGAATGCCTCTTGGTCCTGACCATGGATGGATCCATGCGCCAAGGGAGCCCGCCAGAAGACGGGGGGGTGAGTTGCGCTGGTTTATCTTTTGACTGTGCTGATCTCAGGTGCACTCCCCTCAATCTCCCTTCGGCAGTTTCATAGCTTCCATCTTCACTCGCCAAAATGCACCCTTTTCCACTCTTCATCACGCGGGTGCCCTCTTCCAAGAGTGGGTTGTTGATGCCTACACTTCAATTGAGCAACGTCAACTTGGGTATTACCGAGCCAATCAGCAGACCCTGAGGAAGGAGAGCTATACACGCTTACGCCGTGCCATCCACGAGGGGCATTCACTACATCACATTGGTACTCGTGGCACTCTACTGCCTTCATCACATTTGGGAGGTCCTCGTTACATGAAAGAGGCATATCAGGACTGCATGGCACTCGTACAACACTGTGGAAAACCTTCACTCTTCATCACAATGACTGCAAATCCAAATTGGCCCGAGATCTCCACTGCTCTCCTACCTGGTCAGGAGGCATCCGACCGACCTGACCTTGTAGCTCGTGTCTTCCGTCTCAAGTTTGAAAGTCTCATGAGCGATATCACCCGTGTCAAGATTTTTGGGCCTGTCTCGGCTTGGACATACACCATTGAGTATCAAAAACGAGGACTACCCCATATCCATCTTCTTGTCATCCTCTCACCGGAAGTCCGACCTGTATCCGAATCCGACATTGACTCCCTAGTCTCAGCCGAGCTTCCTGACGCGGGCAGCCATCCATTGCTCTGGGAGACAATCACCAAGACCATGTATCATGGCCCATGTGGGACCTCCAACCCACGCTCTCCTTGCATGCAGGACGGGAAGTGCAAGAGGGGGTACCCAAGGCATTTCAATGAAGAGAGTATTTATGGTGAAGACAGCTATCCAGTGTATCGCCGACGCGACGGCGGCAGGGTGTACACAAACAACGGTTTCACCTTTGATAATCGGTGGATAGTTCCGTATAACCCCTATCTCTCTGGTCGCTATAACACCCACCTGAATGTTGAAGTCGCAAGCGACATAAGCTCGGTGAAATACATTCTCAAATATGTGTACTGTCACAAACGTCGTTTCTTCTTCTCTACTGACCGACGGTCGACAAACCTCGGCTAACTACGTTGTAGTGGGGCGTCGTTGTCTCACTAACACAGGGTACTCGACGAGGAACTACGGCTAACTTCGCCGTAGTGATGTGTCGAGTGGTAAATGATAGGATGATCGTCGATGAACTGCGGCTAACTTCGCCGTAGTACGTTGAACAGCTAAGTGGTAGCTCTCCCTAACTCGAAGGTTGTAGCTAATGAATATATCTCTCGCTACTGACAACAATCAAGGATCGCTGAAGAAGTTCAGCGATCTGTAAACTATCTATACTACTCCTCTCTTCTCATAGAACGTCTCTCAACTCCTGCACTGCCTCACGCTCAGTCCCCTTCGTTCAACTTCGCCGTACCTCGCCATATCCCCGATATCCTACTCTGCTCACTTCGACTAACTTCGCCTAACTTCCCCTGTCCTACTCTCCCTCGGCTCCTTTCCACTAACTTCGCCGTAGTTCTCCGCTAGACGGGGTTACCGTGACAAATCCCTCTTTGGTTCTCGTAACTTCGTCGTAGTTGGTCTCAGTGGTTCGAGTGGAGGTTGGTGGTGGTGGAAGGAAGGTCGGTGATGGTGAAAGGAGGGTCGGTGATGGTGGTTGTCAGGGATGTTACGACGTAGTTCGTGACATGTACAAGGGCCATGATCGTGCAGCTTTTGTGCTTCAACCAGAGGGATACGACTCGAGGGACGAGATAGCAGAGTATCTTGACGGGAGGTACATTTCACCCTCAGAGGCGTGCTACCAAATCTTCAGTGGAGAGGTCTCACAGCATTATCCCTATGTCACCCGCTTGGCAGTTCATCTCCCCGGCAAAAGCAATGTCACCTTTGATCCCACTCTCCCACCAATGGATGTCCTCCAAGGTGTTGGCCGATCCACCCTTGTTGCGTTCTTCGAGTACTGCTCAGACCCAGCTCATGGAAATGAGGTCGCCAATCTTTTATACCCAGACGCACCAACCCGTCTCACGTGGCAGAAGAGTCAACAGCAATGGAAGACAAGGGCTCCAGGCTCAACTAAAGCCATTGGACGTGTTTATTGGGTTGCACCCGCTCAGAAGGTGGGTTTTATCCTAGGGAATTTGGCTGACACAGCTAGGAGTACTACTTGAGGATGCTCTTGTACCAAGTACCTGGCCCCAAATCCTTCGAAGCCTTACGCACAGTGAACGGCCATACATACAATACAGATAAAGAAGCGTGTGAAGCTTTGGGGCTGCTGGAGAGTGATCAAGAGTTTGACTTGTGCCTCACAGAGGCTGCTGCTTCTTTCACCGGCCACTCCATACGGGCTCTCTTTATCACGATTCTCATTCACAGTCACCCTACAAGTCCACTGGATCTATTGAACCGCCACCGGGAGCTGCTGGAAGATGGTTGTCGGCACACTCTAAGGACAAGATACTCAATTGAATGCCCTTCCTCTGATGACACGTGGGACCTGGCTCTCACTCACCTGTTGTCATACATCACCTATCTGCCACTTGTCAAAGTGCTTTTGCGCAATCAGACACTTGAAACACATACCCCTGAATACCTCCACCTCCACCTCCACATGCTGGAACCTTCCACCCTTGCCTCCACCTTTACCTCCACTTGCTTATCAAGCCTCCACACTCTGGAACATTCTGTGCCTGCCTCCACCTTCCCAAAGTAGTAACTCTGGTTGATTGCTGAGCAATCATCCATAGTCCGGAACATTCAGTGCCTACCTCCACTTTCCCAAAGTAGTAATTCAGTCTGCTCACTGCGCAATCTTTCCCACGTTTGCGCTTTCTAGTTTATTCCGTAGACATGTTGAGCAACCCGCTTGATGGGGATAAATACCCCCTCCAAACAGGTTGTTCCCCACCTATGGATCTTGTGTCAATCCAGTCAGTCCCAGCCTGACATCTTGCAGTCCCCTCAGTCCCCTCAGTCCCTTGTCACCCTCCGTATACTCCTCAAGCTCTACGAGCCAGAGACAAGTATTGGGTTTCAGCCCCATTCCAGTCACCTTGCCTACCCTCTGGGGATTAGACCCCGTCCGTGACACCTGTTGGAAATCGCAGAGCGTCAGGGTAGAAGCATGATCGAGCTGGGCCTCCCAGTCCCTACAGGACGGTTTGCAGCGGGAGGTCTTGCCTCAGTTCTGGCTGAAGAGCTTGGTTATGACTGTACGAGTCTTGCGTCTGAATGGGAGACAGGGTTGAGGCTGGCAAATGAAGAACAGTTGTGTGCTATGCGAGTCGTCACGGAGACGGCCACCGTGGGAAGGGGTGGTGTTTTCTTTTTGGATGGACCGGGCGGTACGGGAAAGACATTTGTGGAACGCCTCTGTCTCGCAAGAGTCCGTTCGCTTGGTCTTGTTGCTTTAGCGTTCGCCTCATCGGGGGTGGCATCTCTACTCTTGCCCAATGGCAGGACCGCTCATTCACGATTCAAGATCCCCGTCGAGATCAGCGACACAATGACGTGCAATGTCCCAGCTCAGTCAGCTCTAGCTGAACTCTTCCGTCGTACACAGCTCATTGTATGGGATGAAGCTGTCATGCAGCACCAACATTGCATTACAGCTGTGGACCGAATGCTTCGTGATGTCAGAGATAAGGAAACAGAGCTCTTTGGTGGTGTGACTATGCTTTTTGCAGGTTTGTGAGGCTAGCACATCTGAGTCTGGCTGATATGCAGGTGATCTACGGCAATGTCTCCCAGTGGTGGAGCATGGTACTCGGTCCCAGACAATTGCAGCGACTCTCACTCAAGCTGCATTCTGGCCGTCGGTTTGGCAGCTGCAGCTGCGGACCAACATGCGGCTTCAGGCGGGCCCTGCAGCTTCCGTAATAGCAAGATTTGCCTCATGGCTGTTGGACGTGGGGGAGGGGAGAGTCAACCAGCCGGACGGGCCGATTGTCTTGCCACAAGCAGCCTGCCTCCCACCAGCGGCGTCCCGCAAGGAACTGGTGGACCATGTGTTCTCAGGGAGTGCCTTGTTGGATCTCAATGACGACCAAGCTTGTATGAGCTATTTCTCCGACCGGATCCTTCTGGCTCCTCACAACAGCTCAGTGGACCAGCTCAATACATTGGCTATGGACATCACGCCCGGAGCAATACACCCGTTGATGTCGGCCGATGTTGCTCTCCTTCAAGACGAATCTCCTGTCGAACTGCCCCTTGAGTGGCTGAACGGCCTCACACCTCAGGGCTCCCCACCCCACCGGTTGAACCTTAAAATTGGGTGCCCAGCCATCCTTCTTCGGAATCTGGATCCCACGCAGGGGCTGTGCAATGGTACTAGACTCATCATCACCAGTATCAGCCAGAGGGTGCTGGGTTGCAGGATAATCACGGTCAGCATTTCTTGCTTCCCCGGATCCGGCTCACAACCACACCTTCTTCATAGTTCCCGTTTTCCTTACGCCGAGTACAATTCCCCATCCGGCTTGCATCTGCAATGTCCATCAACAAAGCTCAAGGTCAATCCCTCAATCATGCTGGACTTGATCTCACCAAGCCCGTCTTCTCACACGGCCAGCTTTATGTGGGGCTCTCCCGTGCAACACGTCCGGATTTGGTAAAGGTGTTACTCCCTGAGGGACACCATGGTGTCAGCCCCAATGTTGTCTACAAAGAGGTCTTTGGGTCAAGTCTGACCCGGTGCTACTGAGGTTGTCCGTCAGGGACACATGATGAAGTGTCTCAGCATCCATCCCTCTTGAAATTGAGAAAGCCGGATGGGGTAAGTACGGTGTTCAAAGGGGAAGACATGTCTGTGTCTTTGATTTGACAAATCACATAAAGACAGGCTCCAACGTGAGTTTCTTCCACCCACATTGTTTCCTTACTTGACTACTAACCAGTGAACTCGCATCATGGTCACCGCCACTCCCAACTCCTCCTGCTATGTCTATGCGGCGCTCCTCATCACCGATGACACCGTAGCCGCCAGTGACAAGCCTCGCCAGCACCTGTTCTCGTTGGTGCTGAGCTTCCCCACCAGCATCCATGATGTCATGGTACACACCCACGCCTTCACCAACACTCCGCCTGTCATTGATGAGGTGGTGGCGTTCTGGGGCTCGATGGCCCATAGCGGTTCGAAGGATCAGCCCATGCAGATCTTTGCAACCTCGATTGAGACGTTTCCTTGGGCCGACCTGGATGGTGAGTGTATGTGGCGTGAGATCCGGTCTGACAATACAGATTCTTCGTATATGACTAAGGTGCCTTCGGGCTGCCCTGTCATGGTGATCTCCACTGGTGTTGTTGAGACCGACTGTGTGAACCGCATCTTCATTTTGGGAGGTAGCATCTATGGTGTGAGTCTTGTCCGCTTGATCGATCCGGTTTGGTGCTCATGGTTTCAGAATGGTCAGCAGAATGTGTTCCGCTTTAAGATCTGGATCCCCAACACCCCACGTTGGGCATGTCTTCCTCTTCCAACTTCCGGACAGACAGTCACAGTTCGTGGAGAGATTTACGGTCGTGACGAGACCGGTATCTTGACGGTTATGCTGCACGACATCCAGCTCCAAGCACGTGCTGCTCCCAGTTCTTCGACACCGGCAACCCCTGGGACACCTTCTCCCAAGCGTGCTCGCCGTTCCACTCGCCGGTCCAATGTGCAGCTGTTGGAAGAAGAAGGTGTAGCGGAAGCAGGCCCATCTGGAACTACTGGGGCTGGAGCAGGCACCTTGGTAGGTGCTATGAACGTGTTGGGCACCAACGCCACTTGAATGGTGTGAAAAGGGTGATTCCGTAGACTTCTGACATGCAGAGGCTCATTGTGTTGCATACTCTGATCTGACTTATCACTAACTATTACCTACTCACTCTCCTCATCCTTGGCACGCTCAAAGATTTCTCCGGGTTCCAAGTCTGGCGGCAAGTGCTTGTCATAGTACTCACTCATCCCCGCACAAGTGAAGCTGGTGACCACCAACCTCTTTCCTTTGTCATCTTTGTTGGGTGGACGTACATAGTGGGCGAGATGTGACGCCTGGAAGAACAAAACTGTACCTGAGGTGTCAGCCTTGTAGACGGGGAGGGTAGTCAACATACCAACTGACAGCTCAAACTCCACGTTCAACTGAGGTATCACAAGCCATCCTTGACGCTCAGTACTGTCCCACCCACCTTCACCAAACACAGACACCACCGAATATGTTGAGTCATCATCATTACGATCAAAATGCCAACCTTCGCTCTGTCCCTCATTGACAGCCAAAGCAGCTCCAAGTTTACCAAGGCGCATGGTCCAATGATCACCTGTCGGAACATGATCCATGGTGTTTGCAAGGTAAGGAGAAGCAAAAGATGCTCTGAGAAGTGAGTAAGTACTGGGTAGACAGAGCACACTCACAATCCCATCCGCTTCTGGGTGTTCAAATCATGAACCCTAAGCAGCTTGGAAGGCGCCCCTTTTGCAACTTTATCAAACACCTTCATGAAAGCTTGCAGTTCAGCGTGCCGACCATCTACCGAGAGGAATGGAATGTCATGTTGTGTTGACGGTAGCCATATCCCAGGATGAAAAGGGTCATCCTCAGCTTTGGATCGACCACTGGGACGGCAAGCCGGTTTGATACCCGACTCTGTGTCAGCTCCATCTGTACTATGTTTGAAAAACTCACGTCTTTAACCACTTTCCAAGCTTCCAACACTTGCCTATTATCACCTTCTGTGTTGGCACGGAAAGCAATGACCCAGAACTCTGGACGGGTTTTCCCGGCATCTGGAAGGGTGCATGGGATAGCCACCGGAAACTATGGTCAGCACTGATAGTAATTGGAAACAAGGACCACTCACATCTTTAGATTCAACAAGTGTGGGAGGAGGGAGGTCAAACCTTGCCAAAACCTCTTTCACTTTCTTTTCAATCCGGCGAGGTTTTTTCTTCTTATTCACGGGCCGAGGATTATGAGGGACCGCTCTCTTATCATAGTAGTGGGCCAGCTCATTTGGGGCAGAAGATACAATGATGCCTGACCCATAAGCACGGGCGTTTACGTAGAAAGGCAGAGACTCACGAGGTTTCCTGGCCAGCCACTCCCTCTGCCTACGCTTCATACGGCCTGGTTGACCGGGCATGATGATGTGCGTACTTTGAGATTAGCGTACTTTGAGATTAGCAAGCAGACGGAATGAGTAGTGACATGAATGCATGAAATGAGCATCTAATCAAAAAGAAAGGCAGGGGAACGAGACGACAGGGGGAACTGAGGCTAAGAGAAATTTTGGCAGCGTTTCCCCCTATTTGACACGACAGGGGAACGAGACAGACGACAGGGGGAACGAGACAGACGACAGGGGAACGAGACAGACGACAGGGGGAACAAGACGACAGGGGGAACAAGGCTATAGAGGAAAAATTTTGGCAGCGTTTCCCCCTATTTGAGAGGATGGGGGGCCCAAGACAGCAGGGGGAGGGGACTGCTTGAAAGTGCTCACATACTGCCCTCCGCGTTTAATCCAATTCCAACACTCTGAGATGAATGATTTGTTCTACAAAACAGTCGATCTGACGTGCAACACCAAGGGGGAACCCTAGAAGGGTGTCACAACTGCCAGGAGTAGGTATAAGTCAAGTTGTCGATGTTGTCGATGTTGAGGGTGATATCAAAATCAATGAAACTGACATGGCACATGATTGGTTGACGAGGGAATTCGGCATTTGCTGACTGTACCTCAAGGGGCACCCCACCGCGAGCGCTAGCAAGCGGGTTACTGCTAGTAGACTCCTCCATACCAACATCTAGAAGCCTCATACAGAAGGAAGTAAACTCTATTTCTCCATCTTACTCACTCCACATGGCTGGTATCCGCACGAAACTCGCTTTATACACAGTCTGCATACCCCCGAGCGTTCTCATTTAGCCTTCAACACTTCAACCCACCTTCAAGAGGGGGAAGACAGACAAAGACTGAGTATAGAGGTATGAGCCAAGTGCCACTTTGGTCATATTTGGTAAACTAGGTATATAAGACGCTTTTCTGGATCGCTTCCTATGCATCCTCCTGGGCTCAAACGATGTCTCAGGCATGTAGAGCAGCTTTGTACGATCATGATGGTGGCCTTGGCACCCTCGTTAATGCATGCATGCATGAGGAAGAGGGAGAAAAGGGGACGATGTAGTCTAGACGATGTGTTTGGTCATTCGGCGATCGGCGACCCATATCAACCACGGGGTACGGCGCTCGAGAAGTCTATGGATGGATCTCAATGAGTGTGGCTGTCCCCTGGCAATCAGTCCGGTAGAATCAGTCTCCGTTTCTCCCCCTTTTTCATGCATACAAGCTACTATGTCACGCCTGCGGGTAGACTGCGGTAGCAAAGGACTGCCTTGGGAACTGAGGGGTTTAGTCTCTGGCTCGTGGACCTTGGTGACTGCCTTAGGTACTGAGGGTTCGAGAGGTCGGGTTAGAACCAACTGAGTGACTTATCAAACGAGGGTAAGGGAATTGAAAAGATACATTGCTGAAGAAGAAAACTACAGCACTAGATAGGGTTTAAATACTAAAATCAGCCTTTTCCAAGAGGCTCGTGCAGACCTGCGGAATACGAGCGCTCTGAACCGTTCTGCACTGTCCTGCATGCATTGCCATGCATCCCACCGATTACCACTGATATCCTACGATGACATATCTGTGTTTACCTACGTCCTACTATGATATCCTACGTGATGCGCCGGAAGTCGGTGACTTTGTCGAAGATGGTCGATGAGGAACTATGAGGAACTATGCAGAACATAGAAGAGCTGCGAGAACAAGAGACTGAGAGATTATGCCTTACAAGGCATCAGAACAGAGGAAAGAGAAACTAGAGAAGTACTTGGGGCTTATGCCTGTCAGGCATGAGAGCACAGGAAAGATAGTCTTGGGGTTGATGCCTGATAGGCTTGAGAGCAGAGGAAAGATAGACTTGGAGTTTACGCCTGATAGGCTTGAGAGCAGAGGAAGATATGAGAGTGGAGGTTTGAACTTGTGATTATGACAAGTCATTATTTGATAGTGTCATTCATGACATACTAGAAATTCCCCAAGAAGGTTTCTAGGGTCGTAGAATGTAGCTCTACACATACATGCTATGCAGCCTACACAAGAGGCAATGTGAAAGAAGTTGCAGAAACCTCTGAAACCCTCTACTTACTCAAGTACATGGTACATGGTGCTCGTGGTGCGCCTGACCGTTGTGGCACTTTCTCCCAGATCCCGGATATGAGTGTGCCTCTTAGATCTAATATGTATGCTCTATCCAACGGTAAAGCTCTTGCCTCCCCAAGTGTCATATCAGTGGAGTTACGGAGAGAAGAACATGAAGGTGTGAATATGCTAATGTCTTGTGAAGAGCTTTTTTATTGTGACAGCAACAGTCCAATTGTGTCTTTATGTGTAACTCCAATCAATCTGATCACCCCTGCCTCTTTTGTGAGAGAGTACTAGGTGACAATAACTACTTGTTTGAAAAAAAGAGGAAGTATCCTGAATCATTAACATGCATCTATTTGTAGTACAAGCTGAAGAAGAAGAGAAAGAGGGATTCTCCCTGTAAGTATACATGCTTTTTCACAGGACAGGTAATCAACTTGCTTCACAGAGTGAAGATACAACAGGAAAGGCGAGTGAGATGGCGGGGAGGGGTCAAAGTATGCTGAGAAGATGATTAGCCATGCTTTTTAGAGACTTATGGCATCGATAAAGCAACAAGCATAGTGGAGTGAATGACGTCCGAGGTGGAGGGAGCAGGGGAGAAATGGATTTCATCCGTGGACTTCTCGTCGACCGTAACGGGGTTTGGAATCTGGAATTGCTGAATCGCCACTCAACGTTGACTATGACTTCATCATACAAGCTTACACGACACACCCTCATAACTCTGAGATCACACAGCAGTGACTATCATGTTCAGAATCCTGGTATCTTCTTGTCACGTCCCCGGGTGACCGTACTTCGGGCAAGCCGACAAACGCGACCTCTTCTCTTCCATACCTCCGCCTCCCGATCCGCCCTCCAGAACATCTTCGAAACCCCTGAGAGACCCTCACTATCGATCGTCAAGCTCAATGAAAGAGGGTTTCATCTTTCTGACCGACTCGTGATCCCTGGAGGAGTGATCATATCTGATCATCGAGCTTTTCTATGGGATGTTGATCCTCCGTCACCTGCGACCCCGCAAGGATGGGGAGGCTGGAGTAAGGAGAGGTTTGCTATCTTCGAAAGTGTCTCCCCACGACCAGGTACGTGTTACACACACTCTCCCATGCGACTTCGAAATACACTCTCGCCCTTGATGAACACAGTCAACATTGCTGACGGTAACAGAGATACTTCTCTTCGGTACAGGCCAAACTGTCGTTCCTCCACCTGCAGCGATTAAGGAGTATGTGAGCTCATTGGGTGTTCAGATGGACGTGATGGACTCTGTGAGTTGTTTTACAGCTAGTGTTCTTATGTAGTCACGGCTGACAGCTAGAGAAACGCAGCATCGACATATAACCTTCTCATAGAGGAAGGACGAAGAATCGCCGTCGCTTTGTGTCCTCTCGAACCCATCAACCCCCGTTCTGGCGATTCACGATAAGAAGGTCTTCTCTAGCTTTCAGTAGAGTCATATCCCCGATCGGCCGTGGTCCTCAACATGATGATCCCCCTCCCCCCTTATGTCCCAAATAGCCGAAGGTGCTTAGAACAATCGGCCGGAGATCAAAGGATCCTCGAGGTCGAACGTCTGGCGACCGATCTTTCCTCATCATGTTGGCCGAAGATGCCCGTATGCAGAACTACAATTTCTCACCCCCATCCTATCTGAGTTCGATACTGATTCTGCTTCGCCCGACTCGCTAACTTTCTCGGCTCTCGCGCCCGACCGAAGCGTGAGAAGGCTTCTGCAATCTGAACGGTGCTCGATGTCTTGGCGGCATGCAAACTTGATATGGTCACGATCCTTTGTTCGTACGGGTGAGATTAAACCTTTCGCCCCCTCAACATGTCGGCCGATGTCGAGCGTCGTAATGAAACACGTCACATTTCTCTGCGACAAAGAAGGAGTATCGTATCTCACAAAGGATCTCGTGCGGCCGAGGCGGGGGTCAAAATCGCAGGTGAATAATAAAGGCCGACGAAAGCGGAAACGACTCAACCACGATATCTTTCGCCCTTCATACTTCCTACCCCACCGCAAGCCGACACGTCCCTCATCTCGACCACACACCACACTCCGGTTCACCCACACAACACTTTGAGACAAGCGGATAACTTTCGCAAGAACCAGCTATCACCACTCGTATACTTTCCCACAACGTCGGACAGAACTGTATCGTGAGTGAAGCGGTTCCCTAGCGTAGTCAAAGCACTAAGAGAGATAGAATTGCATTTCTCTGAATCCTTTACAACCATGCCTATCCTGTTTTACAAGCCGACACCGCCCCCGCCCGGCGTCTTCAAGGGACTTCCCCTTCCGCAGAAAGAGGCATCATGGATCAGTCGTTTATTCTTCCATTGGATCACCCCCATTCTCAAAGTAGGTTATGCAAGACCCATCGAGCCCGATGGTGAGTCCCAACTGTTCGATCGCATTAGACGATGTCCTTGCTCAGAACTGATCACGTCTAGATCTCTGGTCCCTCACGGAGGACTTACAATGCAAGCAGGTAGGTCTGAGATACACAACATCCCTCACAGTCCTATCGCTGACCTCACAGATCGCGGACAGACTCGAGGGACATTTCATGGATCGAATGCCTCCCTCTCTTCGTCCTGCACACCTTCGCCCGCCCGGTGACACCGTTGAGAAAGATGCAGATGTTGAGTCGCTCGCCACCGGACCAACGATCTTCATCGAACCACCTTCACACAACACGCTGATAGGAGAAGACGGCATTGAGGTCCTCCAAGGAGAGATGTCGTCGGAAGAGCAGCGATTGGGCGATCTTGGCGTTTTCTCCCCGGATGCTGGACTCAGTCGAGCGTCTCTCGTCGAGACGCTGCAAGCTCGACGTCGTTCTTCAGTCCCGTCCACCCACCCAAATATGCGTAGGAACCGTTCACGCCGTCCATCCGAAGCCGCCCTGCAAGTTTACGCCGAAAACGTCAACAAATACGGCAAGAAAACTGCAAAGAAGATTTCTGAGGGAAAACTGGCTATTGAGAATGGCAAGAAATATGACATGTCACTCTGGAAATCAATCTACCTCACACTTTGGCCAAAATGGTGGATGGCTGTTGCTCTCAATGGTGCTGGTGGTGAGTCTCAAACCATATGCTTGTCCCTCATATTGATATTCTAGGTGCACTGAGGATCTGTGCTCCATTAATCACAAGGCTTCTCATTGAGCAACTCATTCTTGCACATGCCTACCACCTTGCCTCTGTTTCTGGTCAATCCACTGCTGACCTTGAGAGGCCTAAATCGCTTGGCTATGGCATTGGCTTAGCTTTCATCATGTTTCTCATGCAGATTGTCAGTGCTGGTTTCCTCTATGTGGAAATGCAAGCTGCACTTTCCATGGGTTGTACTACAAGGGCGGCAGTGAGTCATTTCTCATCAGGTTAACTGATTGAATTCTGATCTCTGCAGATGGTTGATGTCATCTCTCGTAAATCAATGTAAGTCCTTGTGGAATTTGGATTGATATGACCTTGACAACAGGCGCCTCTCCCCCAAAGCCAGACTGGAAATGACCAATGGTCGGATCACTCAAATGGTCACTGCAGATGCCTCCTACCTTGTATGTCTTCACTTTGTCATCTCCTTAGCTGACAGATGTAGGACTGGGTACTTCCTGCCACTGTTGATTTACCTGTTCAGCCTGTTATCATCCTTGTTGGTATTGGGCTACTGATTTATACCCTTGGCTACTCTGCCCTAGTTGGACTTGGGGTACTGTTCATTGCAGCACCATCGCAAGGTGAGTCCCTTTGTGTCACAGAGTACATCATTGATGTGAAAAGGATTCATGTTTAAAAAGTTGCTCAGTTACCGCAAGTCTCAAGAGAAGCTTGTGGATTCAAGAGTCAGACTTCTTACTGAGACAATCAACAACATCAGAGCTGTCAAGCTATATGCCTATGAGAAGCTCTTTTTGGACAAAGTCTCTGCAATTAGGAAGAGAGAACATGCTAGGTTGAAGAAGTTTGGTTTTGTGAGATCAGCTGTGTGGGCAACTTTTGACTTAGCTCCCGTTCTTGCTGCTGTTTGTAAGTCAATGAAAGATTTCTCTAAGGCTAGAATTGCTGCTATAGCACAGTGACTTTCATCACCTATGGTGCAACAGGACATTCACTCAATCCCGCCATCATATTTTCTGGGCTCCAGATGTTTTCTGTTCTGAAGCAACCTATATCCCAACTGCCAATGATTTTATCCTCAGTCATGGATGCCCTTGTGGCTCTTGGTGAGCTACATCCTCCTCCTCTGGATCAAACTGACCATTCAAGGAAGGATAAGCCAGCTTCTCAAGGTTTGTCACATTCCTATTCAAAGTGTACCTAGCTGATTGTAGTCTGAGGATCTTCCCCATGACCTTCACATTGACCCACATGCAAAGTACTCAATCGAAGTTGTGGGTGACTTTCAATTTGAAAGTGCCTCTCCTCCAGACCAAGGCAAGAAAGATGATCACTCTAAAGCAAGTAAGGCTAAGAAGAGCAAATGGCCATTTAGCAGGAATACTACTCCAGAGCCAGATGAGAAGGAGGAAGAACAGGAGCAAATTCCCTTCTCCTTGATTGGCATGGACCTCAAAGTCCCACAAGGTATGTCACCATCCCTTCATTTGAAGCACTTCTCACCTTTCAGGTGCCCTTGTATGTGTAGTAGGCCGGGTTGGAACTGGTAAAACAGCACTTCTTCTTTCCATGCTGAATGAGATGAGGCAGAAGAGAGGTCATGTCAAATTTGGAGGTCCTGTTGGTTATGGTGAGTACATCCCATCAGTTTTGGGTCACACCTAAGAAGTAGTACCTCAACACGCATGGGTCCAATCAGGTACAATCAGAGACAACATTACTTTTGCCAGCAAACCAGAAGATGTCTGTCCTGACAGGGTCAATAGTGTCATTGATGCCTGCTGTCTCCGACCTGATGTGGAAATGTGGGCTGATGGCGATCAGTATGTCTTTCTTTCTCTTACATCTTGACTGTTTTACTGACCTTTTCAGAACCCAGATTGGTGAGAAGGGCATTACACTCTCTGGTGGACAAAGACAAAGAGTGTGCATTGCCAGGGCAGCCTATGATACTGGAAGTATTGTCCTATTGGATGATCCTCTCTCAGCTGTGGATGCTCAAGTTGGTCTGCACCTCCTGCACAACTGTATCCTCAATGGACCTCTAGCGGACAGAACAAGGATTCTAGTGACACATCACCTTGACGTTCTACCTCATGCAGACCTCATCCTTGTCATGGACAGGGCTGAGAACAATGTGGGTAGAGTCGTTCAGCAAGGGACATACACTGTAGGTTCTCTACTTGAATCCAGACTAAGCTGACATCTGCCAGGAGCTCTGTGCAACACCAGGTATATTCAGAACCCTGATAGATGAGTTTGGTTCAGCAAATCACAAGTCAGAGCATCCCCAGACTGAAGACCAAGTCCAAGATAAAGATGACAGTCAAAACAAAGACAAGAGCAACAATGAGCAAAATGATAGCAATAAAGCCCCCGGTGGCACTGCAAAGTTCATGTTGGATGAGGAACGTCAGATTGGTTCTGTTGGATGGGCTGTCTACAGAGATTACCTCAGAGCTACTGGCTCTTGGCTCTGGCCAGTACTGGCTGGCTTCCTTCTCCTTGGTGAGCAAGGAGCTTTAGTCTCCACAACCCTGGTTCTTGGTTTTTGGTCAGAGCAGATATTCACAGGCTGGACAGAAGGGGATTATATGGCACTTTATGCTGGTGAGCCAAGCCATGCAGTACCTGACATTTGCTGATATGACCAGCTGTTGGATGTTCTGTGGCCTTTTTCACTGTGAGTAGAAAGTTGTTTGTTAGATAGTGGATGGCTGATGAGATAGTGGTCAACTGGTTTCACTATGATTCTTGGTGGAATCTCTGCATCATATCACATGTTCAATCAGGCATGGTACTCAGTTATGAGGAGTCCCACTAGCTGGCATGATAGAACACCTGTGAGTACAGCTCTGTTTATCAATGATGACTTGCTGAACACCAGACTGGCAGAATCACCAGCCGCCTGTCTAAAGGTCAGTTTAAATGAGGAAGATTTAGTCTTGGCTCACTTGTCAGATATCCAGATGCTTGATGATAGAATGGCCCCTCTGTGGTACAATTTTCTCAGGTAAGCAATCTCAAGTGTACAGTGTCTGACTGACATCATGCAGTAGTGCTCTCTCTGTTGTGGGCACCTTTGCCCTCATCATTTATACATACCCTTACTTAGGTCTGGCATTCATCCCCCTCCTGTTTTTCTTTGTGAGTTCTGTTCCTTATCCAATCTCAAATAAAGAGTAACAGAATAGTATCTCTGTGCCTCCTACTACCGCAAGACCTCCAGAGAGCTGAAGCGACTTGACTCTTTACTCAGATCTCATGTTTATAGTGCTGTAGGAGAGCAGGTAAGTCTCTCTACAAACAGACCTGGAGATGCTAATTTCAAGTTGGCTGGTCTGACAGTGATACGAGCATTTGGCCAGCAGACAAATTTCCAGCACAGACTGCAGTCCTCAATTGATGGGCAGAATGTTGGTATCCTTCCATATGGTTGGAGACTGTTGCTGACTCTACAGAGAGCTTATATTCTCTCTGTGAGGGTCATACAGATCTTGCTCTTCCACCAGATAACTGACAGTGACAGATCACTTTGCAAAGATGGCTTGCTGTGCGCTTGGTGGTTTGCAGTCAGGGTCTTGTCCTGGTGAGTCCCTCCTGTTCCTTGCAATACAATCTGACAAGCAGCTTATTGCAATCTTTGGGGTTGCCTTCAGGAACACAGTCAATGCCTCAAAGTTTGGTGTTGTGCTCACTTACGCAGCCTCAACTGCCTCAAGTAAGTGTCTGAACCTGAGTTGAATATGCACAAATTCCTACTGACCTATCAGTCCTCAACAGTCTAGTGCCCCTTTTTGCAACATGTGAAGGGGAAATGGTGGGTGGTTCCTCCTCCCCACCATGTTCTTAGTTTGCTCACCAGCAGAACAATGTAGAAAGAGTTCAGCATTACATGAGGCTTGAGACAGAAGCAGATCCAGTTCTACCAACTGACCCCTCCCCAGAAGATCCCTGGCCCTCTATGGGTAAAGTGGAATTCAAGGATGTCCAACTTCGCTACCGTCCAGATCTTCCATTAGTCCTCAAACACACAAACTTCATCATCAAAGCTGGAGAGAGGGTGGGAATCATTGGAAGGACAGGAGCTGGCAAGAGCAGTATTGCCCAAGCCCTCTTCAGGACAGTTGAACTCTGTGGTGGGTTGATTGAGATTGATGGAAAAGACTGTAAGCAATTGGGGCTAGAGACTGTAAGTGTTCATTCTCCTTGCTTATTACAACTGCTAAGTGGCTAGTTGCGCACAAGGCTTGCAATCATACCTCAAGATGCTTTCCTCTTTGAAGGGACTGTCCGGCAAGTAATCCTCCTTCTTTGGTTTGCCTGTACTGACAGAAATAGGGAGAACATTGATCCCAGTGTGTAACGGTACTGGAAACACGACGACTAGGTCGCAGGTTGGGTCGAACTCGATGGAGGTCTCGTGGAAGTCTAGGGGCTCTGGTGCTAATGGATCGTGTCTCCTCTGCAATCGATGTAGCCAAAGAATGATATTGAAGAATCAGCAAAGTTGGTACTTTGCTGATTGTACTATATACTGTCTACAGGTATCCGTCTCCTCTTCTCAGTCCTACTGCAAGCGTCCATGTACATACTCGGACAGGTGAAAAACCGCTTTGAGCAAACCCAGTGGGGAAAATCTCGAAAGGGGAAAACCCGTCCCTACCTACTGCAGCACTGCCTCCAACTCCCGCTTTTCTCTGTCCTAATCCGTCGAACTCGATAGAGTCCTCTTGATTCGTTGTTACCCCGTAACAAGTTTCCCCCCCTGTCTCAAGGATCCTCGCCGAGGATCCTGAACCCTGTAACCAGGTGATGCACATGGATTGTTCTTAGACACCTTTGGTGCGCCCTGACATCATACCCACGCTAGTGTGACGGTTGCCATGAAAACGCGTCACCCGCACGGACCTCCAATGTGATCGAGAAATTACTGACCAAGTTACCTCCCCGTCTTCTTTCTCTTCTTTCCTCCTCATTCTCTCTTTACCTCTTGTTTGTCATTCTTTTTACTCATCTATCATTATCCATCCATATCTTACTCATATCTTAGAGCATCCTTCCAACTCTGACCTGTCTGTGAGCATGTCTAAGCGTACTGTAAGCAATTCTCTTCGAATTCGATGCACTTCCTCCTGTTTATCACTGGCTGACGAGATTAGTTGTCCTCGTCTATCTCTTCTCGTCAAACTCGGGCCTCTACTGTGGCCATTCTCCCCGACGTCGATCCCGAACTTCTCATGCGTCAAACGAAAAGAATGAGAATTACTTCCCAAGCGCCAGTTCCCTCTCAAACTCCATTGGTTGACGCTTCTCGAAGGGCTCTCGACACCATTAAGGATCGATATCAATCCGGCCCTTCTCGCGACCAACAATCTTCTCTTCTCGATGACGAGGTCATCGAGCAATATATCGACTTCGAAGCGGGGGCAGGGCCATCTACCACTGGTGAGAACCCATCTCCTGCGAAATCTGTCGAGTCCGAACACGGTACCATCGTTGAAAATCAAAATTCTCCTGGTAATAAGTCCCCTGTGCCACCTTCTGATTCCGAGGGGCTTGTCGAGGTTCCCCATGAACTCGAAACCATTTTTCACGCCCCTCGCAAGGTTCCGGTCAATGATGAACTTGCTAAGGCTCTGGATGCTCGAAAAGACTCGGAAATTGGTGAGATTTCTACAGAATTCTGTGCGTTTCTGACTCGTCAGCTACCCTCTGGGCCCGCCTTTCTTTCTCCTCTGTTCGTCACGCTCTGAAAGACGAAGCCCTCGATCGTTTTCGCGAGACTGGGGCCATCAAGCCCACTGTCAAGTGGTTTGGTAACGCCGTGAGCTTTTTCTCCTTCGTATTCCACCGAATTCTAACTGTTAGCTTGATCGCTTGGCCCAAGGTTGGCGACTTCGTAACAAGAATGGCGCTGTTGTCCGTCTCGAGGGTGAGCTTTGCTCCGATTGCCAGCGTCGTCTCGATGGTGGAGAAGATTTTCGTGTAGGTTGTATCGGTCCTCGTGAGTCTTCCTACTCTTCCTGTTCGATATTGATGCAACTTAGTTGGTGGTGTTTGTGGAGAGTGCTCCGCGAAGGGAACTTCAAAGTGTTCGGTGAAAACCAACAATCCCGAGTCCAAATTTCGCGAGGTATCTATCTTCTTCCTTCGAACTTGGTCGATGTTGATGTAAAGGGTATTACTGTCGGAGCCCAGACTGTTACTTCCAAGGTTACCTTCGTCTTGGAGCACGAACTCTGTGCTGTCTCGGCCCGATATCGATCCCTTTCCTCCCAGGATCAATCCTCTTCTCTCACCCAACTCTCCGCTTACATTCACCTCTTTTCCTCTCTCCTTCTTCCTCTTCCCCCAGTACATCTGGGCCTCTACAAATCTCTTCATCTCATTCCTTCCAACTACACCCCTCCCTCTCCTTCTGAAACCTTGGATCATCTCACCTCTGCTGCTGATCCAACCGGATTGACTTCTTCTCAACCAGTCGCCGGTCCCTCCTCTTCTCCCCACACTCCTCTCCCCCGCAATGTCATTCGTATTCCCGCCTCGGTCCGTCGTCCCCGAGCCAATTCTACCACCTCCAACTTCTAGTGTATTTTATATCTCTCTATACGTAGCCATATTTCCTGTGTATGTATTTATTTCCCAATAAATTCCGTTGATTTTGATCGAATTCTCACTTTCTTCTGGGATCTTTTTTCCTCTTTTCCAGAAATTCACCAAAAACGGCCAACTCTTCTACATTTTCTCGTGGTTCCCAGTCATAGGCCGCATTCCCTGTGTATCCTAACCATTTTACCTTGAATTCCTCCTTTCCTCGTCGAATTCTACTGTCCACAATTGCTTCCACATGGAATTCCTCCTGGCCGTTTATTACTACAGGTGGTGGGGGTTGTATCTGTCGACCTGGTATCATGTCTCTAGGATATGGTTCCAACAACGTGACATTGAAGACATTGTGCACTCTCATTGATGGAGGTAGATCTAATTCGAAAGCATTTTTCCCCACTCTCCTTATGATTTTGAAGGGGCCAACGTATTTTGCTTCTAATTTTCGACTGGGTCTTTCCGTCGTAAGATACTTCGTACTCAGTAGTACCTGTTCTCCCTCTCTGAATTCTTCTGGTACACTCTTGTGTCTCCTGTTGTAGTATTCGGCACTAATCTCATTAGCCATCCTGACCTGTTCTTGAACAGCCGCATGTAACTCTCCCATATCCCTCCATTTCCTCTCCAACTTGTTTGACTTTGATCGAATATCGTGCGAATGGATGTCGTAGTGTGGCACATAGCCGTAACAGGCTTCAAAGGGACACAGACCGTGGCTACTATGTGGCGAACAGTTATAAGCGAACTCAGCAATTGGTAGAAGTTGATCCCAATTGTCCATGTTGTAGTTTACATACATTCCGAGCAGGATTTCCATCTGTTGATTTACTCGCTCAGTTTGTCCATCTGTTTGAGGGTGATACGCAGTCGAGTATAAGTTCTTTATTCCCAAGAACTGACATATTTCCTTCCAAATTTCCGCCGTAAACTGAGTTCCCCTATCTGACACAATTGTTCGAGGTACTCCATGTTTTGAAAAGATCTCCTTGATGTAGATGTCGGCCACTTTGTTCGCTGTTAGTCCAGTTGTACATGGAATAAATCTAGCCATCTTGGTTAGTCGATCGACTATCACCAGTATCGCGTCGAACTCGGTCGATTTTGGTAGGGGTCCCACCATATCCATAGAGATATCTGTCCAGGGCAGTGTGGGTACTGGTAAAGAGACCAGATGTCCATACGGCTGGTGTCGATGAGTCTTGTGTCGGTTACAGATCTCGCATCCTTTTACGTATTTTGCAATATACTCGTCCAAATGTGGCCAGTAATAGTCCTCTTTGACCATGGTGATAGTTTTGTCTCTTCCTGGATGACCCACTAGCATCGAATCGTGTCTTGCTTTCATTACTTCTAATCTTGCCTGTCCCTCTGGTATGACTACTCTGTTTTTGTATAAGAGTAATCCGCTCTGTGTCCATGATACTATTGGTGTCTCGCTGCTAGCCTGTGTCTTCTGTGTGTCCTGTGTGTTCTGGGTGCTCTGTGTGCTCTGTGTGCTATGTGTCTGTGTCATCTGTAGTCCTAGTTGTCGTATGTTTGCTATGTCTTCTGAGTCTTTCAGTCCGTTCTTGATGAGTCCGAATAATGAGTCTTCCCGGATTGCTCCTCTTACTATGTGTCTTGGTCCTTTGTGTTCTGAGTCCATTGAATTCGATCCAATTTGTTCGTGTGTCGGTAGCAATTGTAGCCAGTTGCCTTTGTTAAGATTCGGGTCCTTGCTACTCCCTCTTCCCGGATGATAATCTCCTCGTCTCGTCAGAGCATCTGCTCCCCCATTTTTGCTCCCTGGTCGATAAGTGATCTCTATGTTGAAGTCTCCCAATATTTCCAACCATCTCATCTGCCTTCGATTTAGTTGTCGTTTGCTTTGGAAGTATTCTAGGTTCTTGTGATCGGTAATGACCTTTATAACATCACTACTGTTAGCCAAGTAGGGTCTCCAGGCGACCAAGCAATCCACGATGGCTAATAATTCTTTCTCTCCCACCGTGTAGTTTAGCTCACAGGGCGTCATTGCTCGAGACCAGTACGCTACTGGGTGAAGTTCGGTGGTTCCTTTTATTGATGGGTGAGGAAATCTCTGAGACGCTATCGCACCTATCGCGCAATCGGATCCATCGGTTTCAATCCAAGTCGGTCGGGTTCTATCAAAATGTCGAAGTACTGGTGCTGTGGTGAATGTTTTCTTTAGATCGTCAAAAGCCTTTTGGCATTCTTGTGTCCAGTTCCAAGCTTGATCCTTCCTAGTCAATCGTGTGAGAGGTCCCACAATATGCGAAAACCCCTTGATAAACCTCCGATAGAAATTCGCAAAACCCAAGAACACTTGAGTATCCCGGACTGTCATGGGTTCTCCCCATTCTAGAATAGCCTTCACCTTTTCTTGATCCATTTCGATCCGTTCGTGTCCTATTACGTACCCCAGGAACTTCACTTCATTTGAACTCCATTCGCATTTCCTCGGACTGACGACCAAATCGTTTTCAAGTAGTCGATCTAACACCTTTTGGACAATGATCTGATGGTTTTCGATCGTGTCGGAGTATACCGTGATGTCGTCGATATAAACTACTACCCCTTCGTCAAGTAGATCGTGAAACATGTCTTGTAGAAAGTTCTGAAAGGTGGCTGGTGCATTACACAACCCATCCCTTAGGACTGTGCTCTCGAAACTGCCGTATCTTGTTCGTAAGGCAGCTTTATGTTCATCTCCTTCCTTTATTCTGACTAACTGGTAAGCCCCTTTCAAATCGAGTTTAGTGAAGATCCTTCCTAATTGAAGTCGATCGAGTAGTGTCGAGATGAGTGGCATTGGGTATGAATCCTTGATGGTTACCTTGTTAAGGGCCCGGTAATCTGTAACTACTCGATAGGGAATGACTCCTTTCTTGGGGACCAGGAATACTGGGGACCCATAGGGCGATTTACTTCTTCGCAGATGTCCACTAGTCAGTCCATCATTGATCCACTGCTTCAGGAAAGCATCCCCATGCTCGTCCAGTTGGTAAATTGGTCCTGGTTTTAGTTCAGCCCCTGCTACTAATTCGATTTCGTGGTCACATTCTCTTCTTGGTGGTAGTCTTCTTGCTCTTTCTACCTTGAATAATTCGAGGTATTGGTGCCATTGTGTCGGTATGATTTGTCGCAGTTCCTCCTCACTCATTTCGTCCTCCCCTTTCTCCAGTGTTGCTCCTCTTATTAATCCTTCTTCTAATCTTGGGTATTTCCAACCAGTATCTCGTCCAATTCCGTCGAATTCGATCAGTCCCTTTCCACAATCGATCCTTGCCCTAAACTGTCTCAAGAAATCTAGTCCTACTAGTACTTCTGGTCCTTCGTATGCCATAACATCCAGTCGAGTTGCAATCCTGAGTCCTTTTCCTAGATCTAATTCTGCTTCTACATATTCGGTCACTAAGGTCGCGGTAGTTCCATCCAGGAACCTAATTTTTCGTGGTACCTGATATTGTTTCTTTGGGAATAGATGGTATAATGGACAGGCCGGCTGCACATACCTTCCTGTAGCCCCGGTATCGATTAACATTCCAATCTGTAGGGTATCTTTCTTTGTTTGTATTTTTATATATATTATGGCCGAGTCATTACTGAGATCTATTGGTATTTGAATTCTCTGCGATCCGGGCAGATCCTGGCCGCAAGTGGTCGCATCACTTAGGCCAGGTAGTCGTTTCCCTCTTCTTCAAAGGTCACCGCCATTCCTCGAACTAATGGCCCTTTGGACCCAGTTGGGATCGAGTTCGATCCACTAGGAATCGGTGAGCTATGCGGGTTTGGGGATCCCCTAATGTTGTTTCTCGTATTTCCTCCATTTGGACAGTTGTTGGCGTAATGTTCTGGACTTCTACATTTGAGACAACGTCGGTTCTCCCTCCTCCAAGTCATTTCGTTCTCGCTGAGACGTCCTCCGTCCTCTGTCCAAGTGACCGGAGGGTCATTTGGTAGACCATAATTCATCATCCCTGGTTTTCCACCGGGCAAGGGTCCTCTACCAGTCGATTGTGAGTAGCGTTCTACCGGGTTGGGCAAACTAGTATCCAATCGCGTCGAATTCGATCGAGGGGGCAGCCAGGTCGTCTCATGTTTGCGTCTAGCAGCCCATCGATTCGCTGCAATCATCGTTTCAGCCATCCGTTGGTTCTCCTCAGTCCCTATCACATGCTGTTTGAAATAGATCCAGTCCGATTTGGTTCGAGGGTCGGTGTTATTTACCACTACCACCTTCAGTAGCTCTTCCTTCAGGCCCTGTATGGCTGAGGCGATTTTCATTGCATCTGGTACCTTTCCAAGGTGTGTGGACCAAAGTTCGAAGTTGGCAAAATACTCGGCGGCCGTATCAGTCTGTCTTAACTCTTGCAATTTCCTCATAGCCGTACCTGCCATGTTACTATCTCCAAATTGAGTTCGTAAATGCTGAATGAATTTGTCGTAGCTCTCTAGCCATTCGGTCGAATTCCATATACTTGGATTGGTTATGGCCGGGGTTATAAGCATTTGAGGGGTGCCTCGAAGATACCCGTACATGAACAGGATCTTTCTGCGATCGGTGGCGTACTCTGCCCCTTTGAATTCGAAGTTCATGTGACATGCTGCAAGGAAGTTGTCCAATTCTCCTCGTTCTCCACTGAAGGTAGGTGGATCCGCACACCTGGTTCTTCCTGTTCGTTCGTTGTTGGTAAGTTTTGGCTCCAAACACGGCTTGTTTTCTTCGACTTCGATCAAACTTGCCCCTTTCGATGTGAGTATCTGTTGGTTCTGTCGGTCAGCTTTCATCGTAGCCAGTTCTTCCCTTAATGTATTTTGTTCCTTTTGCTGCATCGTCATAATGGCTAACAATTGTGACAACTGCTGCGATAATTCATTTAGCGGATCTGGGGTAGTGGTAGTAGAAGTGAGATCATGTGAAATGGTACTTCTCGAAGAACTTGTTGGTATTTCTTCCTCTGGGACCAGCCCTTGTTCCAACTCCTCTTTTTCTGGTATCATTTTCCGCGCTTTCCCTCTGGTGAGCATACAGTACTCTCCGATTCGACCCAAGGTGCGTAAGGCTGATTCTTCAACTTGTAACGGTACTGGAAACACGACGACTAGGTCGCAGGTTGGGTCGAACTCGATGGAGGTCTCGTGGAAGTCTAGGGGCTCTGGTGCTAATGGATCGTGTCTCCTCTGCAATCGATGTAGCCAAAGAATGATATTGAAGAATCAGCAAAGTTGGTACTTTGCTGATTGTACTATATACTGTCTACAGGTATCCGTCTCCTCTTCTCAGTCCTACTGCAAGCGTCCATGTACATACTCGGACAGGTGAAAAACCGCTTTGAGCAAACCCAGTGGGGAAAATCTCGAAAGGGGAAAACCCGTCCCTACCTACTGCAGCACTGCCTCCAACTCCCGCTTTTCTCTGTCCTAATCCGTCGAACTCGATAGAGTCCTCTTGATTCGTTGTTACCCCGTAACACAGTGGTACTAAGACAGATAATGCCTTAAACCAAGTCCTGGACTTAATCCACAGTAATCCCCGGTGTTCTGCAAGCCTTTCAGAGAAATTCCAATTGGATGTGCAGGTTCAAAATGAGGGAGCAAACTTCAGTGCTGGAGAAAGGCAACTCTGTCAGTCATGTAATCATCCCATATGTGTCAGACTGATCATTCAGTGGCTTTGCTGAGGGCTCTTGTGAGAGGCTGTAAAATCCTCTTGCTTGATGAGGCAACTTCCTCCATGGACCCAGAGACTGATGCCTTGATCCAGACAATCATTCAAACAGAATTCTCTGATATCACGGTATGTTCTGCTTTGACCGTCTGCTCTGACTAACCTTGATAAGCTCATCTCTATTGCACATAGGCTGCAGACAGTAGCATACTATGACAGGATCCTTGTGATGGATGCTGGACAAGTAGCAGAGGTGAGCCATTCAATATTCTGCAGCTGAGAGGCTGACTTGAAGTATGATACACCATTGGCCCTGTTTGATGAGCCAGGCTCTGTATTCAGATCTCTGTGTGAGAAAAAGGTGCGTGACCACCATCATCTACTATGGCTGACCTCCTAGAACCTCACCAGAGACAGTCTCCAGAAGATCCAAGCAGATGCTAAAGCTGCAGTAGAAGCTAGGGTCAGAGCCAGTGATTAGGTGGAGAGACTGAAGTATGTTTGTCACCTCTGGCCAACCCACAAATCAGGGACTAAGTGGAGTGGCTTCTTACTCAGTTTCATGCACACAAATTGAATCATGTGGTTTCATATGAGCTCAGCTCCCATGAACCGGTCTTCTGTTGATGGGTGTTGTGTCAAGCTTATGTATTGTAACAGGGCCTGTCCTTATTTGATAGCAAGTCCCTTACTTGGAAAGACATGCACGGCATGGTATCTTCCTGGATAAACATCCTGTATTCTTGTCACAGATATAAGGCTGATGAGGATGAAGCCACAATGATGTGTCTCAAACAGTCTTAAAGACAACAATAAGTGAGAGTAGAGAGCTAGTGTCATGAATAGTGACTAGGTTATCAACTTGGGAGACAATAGAAGCGGGCGTTTGGTTCGGAAAATTCAAGGTTTAAGGGAATACCCAAGGCAGAGGTGAGAACGGCGGAGAGTATAACGGCAGAGGGGATTGCTTAGCAATAATGGATGTAAAAAGACAAATATGAAGACTGAACAATAAGTGCTCCACTTCCATTCCGTCCACAAACCTGTTAACATGTGGAAGAAAGACTTACCTGCTTCTCTATACACTTTTCATGTACTTCGTACCTCTGCAATGTTGTTGTCACGAGACATACTGACCAGCATATGCACGATATAACAGTGCCCAACGGAACAGTGATCTAAACCACTGCGACGAAAAGGCCTATTAATCGGCAGTTAACTCTACCGCCGATCGCTGGTTAAATACCCTTCCCCGACTTTCGCTCGACTTGTCACACACTTTGTGACAGTTGTCCAAAGATGAGCCTATCGAGCCAATTGAGTGGATGAGATCAAGATCTGTAGAGTCAGAAGAGCCTCTTGAACCAATTGAGTGGGAGATCACGGAACCCATGCCCATTGAGTCCGCAGAACCCATCGAGTCCGAAGAATCCATCAAAGAGCCTATCAAGCCAATTGAGTGGGAGATCACGGAACCCATGCCCATCAAGTCCGCAGAACCCATTGCCATCAAGTCTGCACCTACCGAGAGTGTTAAGACCTGTCCCCAGCGAAAGGTTGTCCCGGATGTGGAGACAGGGTCAGAACCCATTGCCATCAAGTCTGCACCTACCGAGAGTGTTAAGACCTGTCCCCAGCGAAAGGTTGTCCGGATGTGGAGACAGGGTGGACAGCAGAAGTTTACAGCAAGCTTGGTCTACGACTGGCGGGAGTAGACCGTAGTGCTGGTGCAAAGGTCGACAGAAGATGTATCGAGTAGGAAGGAGGTAATAAATATAGATCAAGTATAAGAGTGTCTAGTAGTTGGAACTATATACAAAGGAAGGTGGGACTTCGGAGTGAAGACCCAAAGTCAGGCTTGATGATAGATGGAGTGCCACCCGTAGGATGATCTTGCACTGTCTATGGTCAACGATGACTTTGGGGAGAGCAGAGAGGTAATGAGGAAAGTGAGGTGTTTTAAGATAGTTTTCGTCGTTAAAGTAGATACCCATTCCGCCGCCTTTATATACGTTTCAGAATTACACGTTTTCACACTGATTCCCACAATCCACAATGTGGCGTGTGGAGTCACATGACTTGCACAATTCCACAATGAGGTGTGTGGAGTCACATGACTAGCACAATTCCACAATGAGGTGTGTGGAGTCACATGACTAGCACAATTCCACAATGAGGGGTGTGGGGTCACATGACTTGTTGTGATGAGGTGTTATGACCTGGTCATAACACATACCATGGCAAAGTTAGCTGCAGTTCATCAACAATCATCCTATTGTTTATCACTCGACGTATTACTACAGCGTAGTTAGCCGTAGTTCTCAGACAAGTACCCTGTCTCAGTGAGACATCAACACCCTAGTACAACGTAGTTAGCCAAAGTTTGTCAACCAAAGGTCAGTAGAGAAGAAGAACTGATGTTTGTGACAGAAACAGCCTTTTTTGTAGATGTCTTGTTGAATGTATTTTCTTGTCACTTAGCAAATCTTTCGCCACTTGATCTCATCGACTTATAGTCTCTTTGATCCACTACATCACTAGACTGTAAACTACATCACTAGGTCTGTTGTCATAAATCTTGAATCTCTGTCGCAGCACAAGCAGTTTATAAAGGGTTTCAGCTCATACGATAAGCTGAGCATTGGATCTTTTAGCACATGAGCTTAGTGCGCGTCACCCTTTGACGTATGCATTACATCTGTTCCCTGTGAGGCCCTATAGCCACAGCTCATAGACACAGACTATTTCCAATGTCTGGTCCTGACACAAAGGTAGAAAGACAAATAGGGAATAAGAGGATGCATAACGATAGTAAGGCAGCCTTTTTAACCTCAATCTCAAATCTAAATAGACAGGAGAACTGAGAGAACATTTTAGCTAACATAAGTACTAGAATGTGATAGGAAGTTTCAGTGGAAGGTACCAGAAAGAACTACACAGAACCGGAAGCAACTACACACAGAGGAGTAAACGACATGTCCCATATATACAGGAAGGGGACATGACAAGTAGTTTGAAGCTATTCTAATATTGTACAATAATTTTGTCGCTCAATAATTGGGTGTAATCAAGTTCCGGGTGAGCAACCTCAGGAGAAAGCGTACCAGGCAGGACACGTGGTCTGATCAATATCCGGGTGTGCGACTTCGGGGTCGCGGGTGAATGACCTTACTGGTGGAGAGGAACGACTAACTTACTGTGATCAAATGACAGATCGCCAGATGACACCAGTTCACCAGTTAATGCGTAGTCGTGACGGGGAGAGCGAAAGACACGATCACTCATGATTTCGGCCTGGAGATTACAATGACGATCTTGTCTGATATCGCTCCTGTCCCGTTGTGGTTGCATGGCGTGAAACTCGATCTACATTAACTCTCCTGACATCGTTGTCAATGTAATGGAAGAACTAGGACGTGATGCCTACGATACATATATATAGTGGTTGATCTGAATTGCGCTATACTCCCCAACCTTCAGACTTGCTAATAAGTCAGTAATCATCCGCTCTATTTCAAGATGGAAAAGGTGATAGACATGATGTCCCTTGCGGGACTGACGAAACCATGTCCGCCAGGGTTCAGTGATCATATTTACGATACAAAGCATGGAGTGGAATTACCATTACGTATTTGGCCAGCGACTAGCTCGTTGGCAATTGGGAAAGCAAAACCTTGGTTGATGTGGATCCATGGGGGTGGTTGTATAGTAGGGAAACATTGGGTTCCGGTGAGTTCTTCCTGTATTCCTGACTAACATTCTTTGGCTTGAGTAGAGTGGCATGCGATGCGTGGCGATGGGTGGACGATGGAAACTGGAAGCAACCCGATCGGCTGATCATGTGGTGCAAGACTGTGGGGTCTAAGAACCGCAGGTTTTCTCACACCACAAACTGACAGGGAGGGAGGGAGGAATTAAACGGACAAAGTTGTGACAAAGAGAATGATAAGCTAAGGTGCAGAACGCTTGGATTGTTCCCGCATTTCTGTCACACAATTATCACGTTGTCTCCATCGCTTATCGTCTCTCACCTCAAGTAACTCCCTTTGATCAGTTTGATGACTGTACCTCTGCTTTCGCTTGGTGTCTCACTCACCTTCCCGACATCCTCGGTTCATCCTCCATCGCTCTTTGAAATTACGTGGTTGGCGGTGATTCTGCCGGAGGAATGTTGTCTACTTTAGCCGGCCACTTCTTTCAACCTCGTCCTCGAGCCGTTCTGGACGTTTTCGGGTTGGTGGATTTGACGGACCCGTTCTACCATGAACCAAAATCTTGTCCCGATCCGACTCAACCGCTACGCTTCTTATGTCGTTGGCCAGAAGGTTCCTTGGAAGCAATGTTCAAAAATCATGATCCTTCTCATGCGGAAGTATGTTGTCCTTATACTTCAGAGCTTGAACCTATCATGACATTTGGAAAACGACGGGAAGTTTGGGGAGTGGAGTATATCACAAGTGAGAAAGATTACAAACGAATGGATCTGTTCAAGCACTTCATCACCAACCACGAGATATTTCCGCTTTTGTTTCGGAAGGAGAGTTTCGGTACCCAGGAGGCTTATGAGGTGGCATTGAAAGGATTCTCGGGGTTACATTTATTGGAGCATGGAAAGGAATATCCGCCCACTGTTGTGATGCACGGAACAGCCGATAGTCTCGTCCCGGTCGAACAGGCTACCGTTTCGTCAAAAAGCTACGAGAATTAGGGGCTGAAGTAGAAGCATTGTTTTGTGAGGGAGGAGAACACTCCTTTGAGAACACGATTGAGGTGAGTTGACTTACTGTAGCTTCGAGGGGGCCATAAATATATGGGCTAGATTAACAGACTGATCGACAGGGACCGGAATCTGAAGGTCGGGATGAGTATGTGGTGCCATGTATGGCGTTCCTCAATAATCATGTCAAGAGTGCCGTGACGGAGTGATGAGTTCGTCAATAATATCGAACGCTCAGGGTTTTGAGAAGAGGGAAATGACACGCGTTCCAATTATGATTCGTTCCAAATATATATTTATTCAAACCTATCGAGAGATGATGAAAACGATGACAATGATACACTGCTTACAATCACGATCTATTTCGTATCCCTACACCCCAAAAAATCCCAATCCATCGCTGGTGAAGCTGGCTTCTACGCCAATCGATCCGCCTCCACCTCGTACTTAGGCGGCGCTTGTTCTGGGATAGTAAACGCTATGACCGAAACGCCATCTATGATGGGACCATGATGACCGTCGCTGAAGTGAACCGGGAGAGGAGGAGAGGGCATGGTGGTTCTTCCTCTCGTACTTTCGCCTGTCGTGTAAGCAGATTTCTAATGGGTTGTCTCGTCAAGCCATGAGTGAATCAATGCGTCGGCGTCTCGATGACTAGACTGGCGCATTGCCTTGAGACGGATAAGAGACAAAGACGAGTTGTTCCAAATTCAAATCCAGTGTGATGATAGTACGAAACGTGAGTACTTACGATATGTTGGTAATTCAGGATCAGGATTCTCCTCTTCTTCCCTATTCACAGCCCTCCTATTTCTCTCCAATTCACGTCGATGAAACGGCACCATAGGTTCTTCCGGCGCTGGGTGACTAAAAACTCTACCCGTGAGTTCTCGTGCAACCCCGGTCAAAGTGGGCCTTTGCTCTAAATCTTGAGTGGTGGATGGTAGTGAAGACTTTCTTTTCAGACGGGATTGGAGGAATCGGCGGTCTATTTGTAAGCATCTATCGGGAATGATCGATCGATCAGGGATGTTGTAAGATTCGCTTAAATCCATGCTTGGATTTCTACCCGAGGCAAGCGAAGAATTCAGAGAGTAGAAATTTGAGGAACACAAGGATACCGTACTGAAATGACGTACAGACGTAAACGACGATGACGGCAAAAAGGACGAATATGAGTACCACGATACTGATCTTGTCAGCCACATTCCATTGCCTTTTTTGTGAAATAACGGATGTCTCACTAGATCATCTTGTTCGTACTGCCTGGGAAAGTATTGCAGAAAACAGATCGAACGGTCGATGTCTCGACGATCGACGGACAGAGAGACGAGTAGGTTTAAAGAGACAAGGGTGGCCAATACTTATTCGAGTGGAGGTTCAAGTTGAGCGGTGCAACATCGGTCATCTCCGACTTTTGATCCCGTCGGGAGCCCCAGGTTTGGTTGTCCAATTCTGTTCCTTTGTACTGTACTCGCCCAGTGCAAGTCTGCCTATCGTCGAGACTATGGCTGCCCATACTCCAAGATGTCTGGTCAGAGGGTCGATCAGTGAGTCTGAGTGACTTCTGAGAAGAATTGATACTGACAACAGATATTGATGAATTCTTCTCACTTCCTCATATCGTTCTCCCTGGCGAGACCATCTCATCGACCCGATATGCCAAACGTGCAGGGGGTAAAGGGGCTAATCAAGCATATGCTTGTGCTCAGGCTGGAGGAGGGGTGGATATGGATGGTTGCATTGGAAGTGATGGTATATGGGTGAAAGATATGTTACAAAAGGCTGGAGTGGGGGTTGATCGAGTTCGTTTGATCGAACATGAAGTGAGTCAACCCATGTCAAATTTCGGCGAAAAGACTAAGGATAGGTTACGGGAAGAGCCATTATTCAACTTTCCACAGATGGCGAAAACTCTATCGGTGCGTTCTATAAGCCATAGCTGATGGTGACATTCACCAATGATAGATATTATGAGAGCTGATTATCAGTCCTTCATGCAGGAGCGAATGCAAATATACCATCTTCCGATACCTCCCCCGACGTTTCTTCCTACACACATTTATTGGTACAAAATGAAATACCTCTATCTTCCACTTTGACATATTTATCATTAGGCTTGATCAATATTTTCAACCCTTCACCTATGCTTTCACCATCTGAACTCCGTACATTTCCTTGGGCTTCTCTCACTTGGCTCATCGTCAATCAGGGGGAATTAGCTTATCTCCTTTCCGCCCTCTCCGACCAACCTTTCGCGATGAGTGATAACACGTCAGAGGCGGTGAACGGACAGTTGAGGACATTACACTGCACGAAGGGTTTTGAGAAAGTATCCGTGATTTGTACATTAGGAGCGGATGGGATAGCGTACTTACTCCCTCTGGAAGACGAGGGAGAAGTGAGAAGAATGTCAGCGGGAAGAGTGGAAGGTGGAGTGAAGGATACGACAGGTGCAGGGGATACTTTTACTGGTTATTTCGTTGCTGGTTTGATGGCCTGTCTAGAGCTTGATGAGATTTTAAGAAATTGTATGACGGTGAGTTCATTCTCATTCTCACTCTCTCGACTTTGAAGGGTCATCTTGGGAAAACAATAGCAAGTATTCTGGTTTGAGAGGAAATCCGTACGGGAGATACAGGGGAGGATATACTGATATGTAAGGCTTGCGCGATATGCGTAGAGAGATCAGGAGCAATGGAAAGCATTCCCACAAAAGTCGAGGTTCTAGAACGGCAGGCTAGTCAAAAGACCAACCAGACTTAACGACCACAGCGTAATGTCGCTACGACCAACAACTAAGTACCGACACATAAGTAAGCATGCACATGGTTCATCTGACACTCCACATTCTCTATTATCGCTTATATCATCTCTAGGGCTATCCAACATGATAATTATCTACGCATGATGCATTCATTGAATGAATGGACCATAGACCATAGACCGTAGACATCAGCTAGCTTCATGCCTTTAGATCACCAATTGAAATCAAAACAATTCATCTCTCTCACTATCATTCAAACTTCCACATCATGTCCGAACCCAATCTTCGTAATCGACAACCACCTCGTCCAAACTCTGCAGCCTCACATCGTTCGCAAGTATCTCAAAGCTCCACATTAGATCCCTCTGTGGCAGGAAGTAACACCCCTAGAAAGTTAGGATTACCAGGGGTGAAAGGTACTATGGGAGCTATCGGTGTGTTCTTCTTTGTGTCATATTTGTTATCCTCCTTCTCATCTTCTCATCTGAATATTAGTATCTTCACATGCTACAAGTCATGCTGCTCATGCTACCGTTTTGTGGAATACATCCGTCTTGTCATCAAACCCGTTCGACCCCTTCCCTCCTCCCTTGAGACTTTTCCCGTTCTCGGGATATCTTCACTCCCCATCCTTCTTCTTCTTCTCCGACGATCTTACTTCCAATCAAAGCAGTTATCAATTCCTCCATTCGATAAGACGCTTCACATGTTAAGCTCAGTCTATTGATCATATCTGACATATAGAGAGTCCAAGAAGACGAGAATTTGATTCGACAATTAGCACGCCGACAAGCTCGACTTACCCAACCCGACTTGATACTCAAATCGTATGTCATTCCACCCCCTCCTCCCATCCTACTCTTTTCTTCTCAACCATGTTGAGGTTACCGTTATCCCTGTCCAAGGTCCGGGAGTATTTCGGTCGGTCAGACAAGCTCACTTCAAGTCATTCGACAAGACCCATCGACCTCCCTCGCCTCGACCTGACTTTCCTGTCTTCAGAGCAGATCCGACGCTCAAGACGTGTTTCGACACTTTACCTCTCGCTGCCAAAGTGTCGCTCAAAACGCTGTTCGGGCTTCCATGAGTTTTCTAGGTGTCCTCAATCACTCGAATGATATTCTCGTCACAAGACTCACAAGTCAGATTTAGTCATTCCAGAACACGCAGAGCCAGCTCTAGTCACTCAATCCTGTTCCCAAAGGCCCCTTATACAAAGGTTTGAAGCTGAAGCATCACCAAAACGAGTATGATATGAGTTACGACAATGACAATGACAAATGCATGCAACTGTCCTCTACTTCTCATATCCCCATCACACTCATTCCCAACACTATCCCACCCAAAACAACACCCAGCATCACGCCCAAACTCCTCCGCGTTTCTGATGTGGCTCCCCCAGAGAGAGGGGAAGTCGAGACTACCGCAGTCCCCGTTCCTGATGTTGTGGTTGCACTAACTGGATCAGGAGTGATCGTATTGGTAGGTTGTGAAACTCCATTGAGACTTGCCACAAGGTTGAAAGGGACAATACCGTTCGAATCGTAGAAATCGAGTAAAATGTGATTAGGATTTCTTCCCCATACTTGAAGACAATTGTCAACGTGAGAGCCAATGGATCCTACTCCCGTGGCGGAATTTGTCTCGTTGACCAAAGCTCGGTTTGGGACGAAGAATGAAGCGCCGCCAAAGTTGTAAACGGAATCAAGGAAATGGTTGATGAGCATCATCTGAGAAGAGGGAGACCCGGCGGTACGGTTGACAGCGCAAGCGAAGGATTGTTCGGTGACATCTAGGAGTTAGTCAAAGGTGACATCTAGGAGTTAGTCAAAGGTGACATCAAGCGGTCGATAGAGGATGTTTGAGATTAGTTGGATTACTTGAGTACTTACCAAAAGCGTCCTCAAAGATATTTGAAAACTCATCAATGATCCATGGGACGGAAGTGAAATCCGCTTCTTGATCCATGAAAACCACCACCGTCTTTCCACTATCGATCAATGTCCCGAGGGAAGGCCAATCTCTCAGACTGATCTCCGCGGCCGAAGGGGAGTAGGTGTATCGTTGTAAGCCGGAGGAGGTGAAAGCGGAAGTGAAGGAAGTGGGTGGAAGATCGTCGATATTGACGATGACAAGGGTTATCACTGGAAGTCAGCATCGAGACCTTCCTTCTTGAAAGCGGCATGATCGTGAGTGATTCATGCGGGACGAAGCAGTGTACGAGTCTGTTTTGAAGATTTACCGTCATTGGGATTAGCGGCTACCCAAGAAGCGACGCTTGAGAGATAATTTTCCAATGTTCCTCCATCTAGGAGGTCGCAGGATGTGTGACAGAGGTGAATGCCATCCGTGGCGTTATGTCTGGTCGTCAGCAACTCCCACTCATCCCACCGTACCCCACCGTATCTACAGGAGCAGAGGAAGGAACAGACACTTACGTTTGTATCTGTAAAGTTCTTATACCGTCATCCTGTCCGTCAGCTCTGACTTGTTTCAAATTTCATCGAAGCCCCCGAGCGGGATAAAGGAAACACCCACCAGCTGCTCAGTGACATTCTTCGATTGATTATCCGCAATGCTGCTACCCACAGCATATGAATCATGAGCTCCTAAAAAGGTGACATTTGAATACAACCGATCACACAATTCTGAATGTCCGTTACAGATCGTAGCTGCTTGTGAAGGAAGACTCAGCGCCAGGCTGAGGGTCAATGCGGCGAGAGAGGACAACATGGGGGTAGGGTTGATCTTTGAGGAGTGTTGAGATTCGATATACACTTTGATAAGAAAGGAGAAATGGCGGGTGGAAGAGGTGCGGGTTCACTTCGTTGTCAGTTTGATTCAAATTCGTCGTCATGTTGTCGACCGTTTGTTTCACCGTAACCGTACACTCACCAAAGGGTGGGCCAAGAATCTGGGCACCCCGAAGATCGCGGGGACTCGGTTAATTGATATTGTACTTGTACCGAATGTATGGATGGTTACAACTAGATGAATAGTGAGACAAATATGATAGAGTCAGATATGAAACAGAAGGAAACTTTGGACAACTGGAAGTAAGGATGGGAGATTATAGAGAGCAAGACTGAAAAAAGCGAACGGTCACTGCGAGTGCACCGCTCTCTGCAAGGCACCAAACATCTCACGCGCGGTGGAGGCGGCATGGCGGCAGTCTGCAGTTGACAAGCAAGGGGAGATACTGCGGGTGGGAATGCATGAATGTGACATGTATGGAATGTCCTTTCTTCATCTTGAACGGGGTTTTTTGGGTATGGGTATACAGCTAATTGTATGAGGAGATGGAGTAGAGATTAGTAGTGTAGAAGGATTCCCCACTGAAATGTTGTCCCCACCGATTCGCCACCCAAAAGTGTACAACCTTAAATCCGACGTCGGCCGATTGCATGAAACCACCCGGTCCCCACGTCTTGAGATCCACGATCCACAGGTCATGTTCACAAATACGTCATACGACACAACATGCCTCCTCTTTGAACCTCCTTTTTGAACATCCTCCCATGTAGCTTGCAGACCGTTGGCTGCTGGCTACTGCGACCTTCTATCTGCTCCTTCCTACACCCACCGGCCACCGATCCATCGTCTGTTGTCCCTTGTCACTTGTCAATTGCTCGAACCCATCAACCGACCCACTTTCAGAAGAACTCGACAAGATGGGCGTCACTCTATCTCCATTCCGATACCTTCAAGTCGCTCGTTATCTTTTTCAAAGATGGTTTGATCGAACTCATCGCCCTGTTCCTTCTTCAATATGGAAAGGGAAAGCTCGGGCTAATCCAACTTCATCTTTACTCGCCATGTCTCCTTCTTTCCTCGGGTCATCATCATCCAATGAGACACAAGCCGGTTCATCAAAACATCACTCGCATCATCAATATCACAAACCAAAGGCGGCTGTGACGGAAGGGGGAAAAGTTCATCCTGAACCTGGTTGGCCAAAAGAGCCTTCAGAGATTTATAGGTTGATGAATGATGAGAGGTTGTTGATCCCCGGTGCTGTCAAGCCTCCTAGGGAGATTGTGGTGTTGTGTCATGGTGAGTGTGTCCGTTCGATCATGAAGACATGAGTGCTTGTCAGTGGGAAGCTATCAGCTTCGGGGTGTCAGGAGTGAGGGACTGATGGACAGGATTATACGGATTCTCAACGGCTACACCTATCCCTCTGTTTCCATCTTTGAAACTGCACTATTGGGCGTCTGTTCTAGAAGTTTTAAGAGATCGGATGGGTGTTAAGGTCGTCGTCGTTGGTGTCAAGGGGTGAGTATTTTCAGTTATTACTACACTCCCTTGCTTTTTTTTCTCATCTTTACATTCCATACCTTTGTCGCCTCATCCCTTTCCCGTGTCTCGCTTTGCCTCTTCCCAATCGAGTTTGTCTCCTAACATCCGTCCAGAGACAAATGTAGCTTGGATTATAGCCTTCCCTACTCACTACGACATCCTTACTGAACAAGCGGAGATGGATCCGGTTCACTGATACACAGCACCGGCTCGATCAAAGAACGTGCAGAACAAATGCATTCATTCCTCAAATCTTATCTCCCCCGAGGTGTGGGAGTGAATTTTGTCGCACATTCGATGGGTGGACTCGATGTTCGACATTTAATCTCAACCATCAAACCTACCGAATACACACCATTATCACTCACTACCATCGGTACACCTCATCGTGGTAGTCCATTCATGGATTGGTGTGCTGCGAATATAGGTGTTGGTACACCTACAGCTATAGCTGCAACCGCTGCTCTTTCCGCCACTTCAACAACATCAGCAATATCAAACTTACCATTTTCTTTAAAATCACCTCTTCTCTCTCGTCCACTTACACTAGAAACAAAACCAAAAGAAGAATCTTCTTTCGCCACATTCACAAACGCCTTCACCTCATATTTATTAAACATTTTCGATTCTCCCGCATATTCAAATTTAACAACATCATATTTAAGAGATCATTTCAATCCTTCTACTCCTGATTCAACAAAGGTCAAATATACAAGTGTGGCAGGAAGAGTTTCTAAAATATCAGTTTTACATCCACTTTGGTTTCCTAAATTAGTACTTGATGCAGCTGCCGAGAAAAAGTATTTGGATGATGGTAGGGAATACGAAGGTAATGATGGTTTAGTTAATGTTTCTTCTGCTAAATGGGGAGAATTCTTAGGTGTAGTTGATGAAACACATCATTGGGATTTACGTGGTGAAGGTGGTTTATTTCCTAATGGTGGTGCTGTTAGTAAAAGACCAGGTGGAAGACCAGATGAAAAAATGCCAGGAGGTTGGGATTGGGAAAGACCAGGTTTAGCAGAGGATTTAGGTTTAGGTTTAGGTTTGGATTCTAAGGATAAATCAAGTTTGAATGAAGATAAAAGGAAAAAGATTGAAAAGGAAAAGGAAAAGGAAGAAGGGAAAGGTTGGGATTTAGTACAGGTTGGAGAGGTGATTGATTGGATTACAGATCTTTTACCTGGTGGGAAAGGAAGTGAAACGGGTAAGAAACAATTGGCAGATGCTAAATTAGAAGCGAAACGTGAATCTGAAGGCAATGAGAAGGAGAGAGTGAAGGATGATAAGGAGAAGAAAGATAAATTTGATCTGGCAAGGTTTTACGGAGGGTTAATGTTGAAATTAAGGGAGGATGGTTATTGATCATCCAGCTCTTTGGGTATTTTTATGGTAGATGACATGGTGGTTCAGGATTGAGGGGGAATGATTTCAAGTGGGAAGAGGGTGATAATTGAAGTGATACACAACAATGCATAGCATGGCGACTTTAGCGTCGACCGAGATGACCAAATGATACGAGAGATTATATGCAGACCAAGCGTAAGGAACGATACATGCAATTCGGCCATGTGCAAGTTGTAAAGTTTACAAGTGATAGACGGTATGGACCATATCTAGATTACAAGATGTGAATTTATAACGCTATGTAGTCCCAAGAGACGTATTCATCCGGGCGAGACAGTCGGAGGTGATTCGTTTTCAGGACTAGCAGACGACCCAATCATCTCCGCCCGCATGGCCGCTTCTTTCTCGCGGAAAGACTTTTGGTGTGCCCTCCTACAAGGTTTAGTGGTCGTTGCTGGTCGTCAGCATTGAACTTCCTCTCGAATCCTTCATGCCTCCCTATCTGGAGTCCTCGAAAGTCTCCAGAACCTCTGTACAGCTATTTCTAATGGGAAAAGCGTAGTGCATGAATAAATTGACTCAAGCTTCGCTAGCTCGAGCAGAAGCCATGAACCACCGGAGTTGGCATATGAAGCCTTTCGAGTCAGGGGATAGTGTGGAAAAACGATAGAAGCTTATGACTCACACTTGTAACCCATTTTCACAGCTTGTACCAAGATCTGATGTTTACTCCTCGTCTTACCAAATCGACTCGTTATCCATTCCCAGTCCACCTCCCCACTTTTCGTCACCGCTTTCCTTCTCTCTTCCCCATCAATCAAGATTTCTTTCTCAACTCCTTTTCCAACCGCCCGAGAAACGCAAAGGTCGTACAGATGTTGAAGCCTTGTGATCTCTACAGAACGCCATGGACCTCTGACGACGTCTGTAGGTAGATCTTCCGCCGCGACGACTTCGTCTGGGTGAGATCTTGTGTCAATTTCTTTGCCCCTTATGCGAGGGATAGTACTATCAGGTTGAGGTTCAAGACTGGTGGTATTCTCTCTGGACTGATCGTCAGACGTGGAGGGGTGGTCTTGAGCAATGATCGGATTGATAGAGCTGGATGGATCGGGAGGAGTATGTGGGATCTCTGATGGAGGGGAGGAAGATTGTCTTTTGGTTTTTCGTCTTTTTTTCTGCGGAGGTAATGAGGTCTTTTGTTCAGCTTACCTATCACCTTATACATGGTTCGTTACCTGCGCAAGAGTATGTCATAAGACCGCACATTCAGGCAAGATTCAAACGACAAGTACAATACAATGACAGAGGGGGGGGGGGATGACGGAGGAAACGAGTAGTGAACTTACCAAAGACACGCGACTCTTTCTAGCCATATCTAACATCTCACTCAGTCTGATATCCCCATGATCATTCATCATAGCCAAACGTACCACATCCTCCCCTACCTTATCCTATCTCATCAGCGTTCATTCTCAATATGAGGTACTCAGACATACCACAAGTTCTGTGAAAGATTTGAAAAATCGCTTTGTCAAAGCTACCAATTCCTTCTTCAAAATCGCTGCGTCTTTTTCTTTCTTTCCCGTGCTTTTTCCTTTCGATATGACCTTTTTAGTCACTTTACCATCTGAGATCTTGACGATTTTACGTTTCCGTCCTCTTGAGGACTTCGTCAACGTCTTTTGGACTGATAATGACATAGTCTGCGGAGGAGATAGAGGGGCTGTATCTGGGAAATTGAGCCATTCTTGACCTGGGAAAGCAGTAACGGGAATGTCCATACCCTCTAAGATGGACGTGGTATCCATGTGGGTGCCATGTGAGAGAGTCAAGGGTATAGGTGGGTTTTTCAGTTTGGTAGTGTAGGAATTCGTATTTGATGAGTCGACTTCAGGAGAAGTGGTGGAATGTTGGGATAGGTGGGAGAGGAATATATCGGATTGAACCATTGTTGAGGGTGAGTCTTGTGGAATGTCGGATAAAGAGGATACATCATGTGTTGAACAGGTTTCGTGTGGAGGATCAAGACCGAATAAAGCGTAAACTTGGTCAAGATCCAAGGGTTCGTCGAGTGGATCAGGAGATGACATGTTTTGGTCCATTGCTGGAACAAGATCGACAATGGGTTTTTGATACTGTATTATCAAGTCGTTCTCCTTCACGGAAAGGTTGTATAAAGTGAAGAGATATGCTTTGAAAATCGAGAGAGGATATGACCGAGGGGTGGAAGGAATGTCAAGAGAGACAAAGGGAGGTGAGGTATGACCCTTGATGGTCTCGTCACCTTTCTCATATACCCAAAAGTCACTGTGTTTGGTTGTTACGAACTATATGTTGACAAGATGACCAAGAGGATAGAGCTGTTATGAGAAAGAGAGGGAGAAGTGAAGACGAGGAGGAGAGATTGATGATCCAATCAACGAACCGAACTTCGCGCACGACACGAAATCTCTTCACGCACGACAAAATCACGTGATAAAGCGTTAGGCATGCAGCACAGAGACGTTAGGCGCACGCAGGGACACCCTTCCGTCCTCCCCCCCTCCCCAATTGTCCTGTGGCCAGAGTTGCTAACCTACTCCATGATCTATGCATAGAAAGATCCTGGTTTTTACACGGACATGTAGAGATCGTCCCCCTCTATTGGTCAGTAAAAGTTTCAGGCTCAAAGGTCAAGAACTGACCGAGATAAACTGATCTCCCTTCCACCCCTTCTCCCCATGAATTTCCGGCCGCCTCAGAGCCTATACTGACTGGAAGGTATTCAATGGGGATTATCGAGGGTCCTGAGAACGATGGTCAGTGTCTCAATATCATAGCTTATCTCCTGTAAGTTGCAGAAAGTGATGAAGTTAATTGATATTACTTGAAAGTATGAGAAAAGTGGAAGGGCGATCTGTGCACAAGAAGCCACGTGGTTTGAGACGCCTAACTTGATTCTGCGGCATGCCTAACGGCTAGTCACGTGATTTTGTCGTGCGTGAAGAGATTTCGTGTCGTGCGCGAAGTTCGGTTCCCAATCAACCCATCAGCCGCACATTGACGGTCCGTGCGAAAGGACCCCCTCCCCCCCTCTACACTGATGCCATCACGTCGCGTCAAACAACTCTTCCTGCAGCGAGATCCTCTTCAACGTATCACCTCTAGCTTGCCACTTTTCTTCAATCGGGCTCATTTTACTCAATCCCATAATCTTATCTTTCGCCTCTAAGTGCATTCTCTTGACCTCTTTCAACTTCTGTCTGCCTGTCTCTGACAGTTTGGTGATGTTCAAGGATAGCAGCTTACCCGCTCTCATACAGTCGACAAGAGGATCTCGGAAGAGGTTGGGTGGTTCTTCTTCGAACAACGCTCTTAGATTAGTATCACCAAGAGTGTCCATATCGTTCCCTATTCATCAACTCATATTAGAGATGTAGCAGCTGAACAAGCTCACTGTACCCGGATTCGTCCGTCCATAGTTCCAATAACCATCTTTCCCAACCTTCATCCCAGACTGACAGAAGGGTACTCTCCAGCTGATCCCAATACATTGAAACAGCTTTACAATGAACAACTGGTGACTTTCCCAGAGCAAAAGTGACGATACCCCCAGATGCTAGTCGTATATCCTCATCGTCGTCTTGCAACAGACGAAGGAGAGCTTGATGAAGTTTTTGTCGCACGTTCGAAGGTAGAGGGTTGCCTTCGGTCGAAAAGAGAAATGGGGCAAAGTGAACCATCGCTTTTTTAGATGAAGATCGAGTAGGTTCCGATTGACTTTCGTTTGAGAACAACAAGATTTGTTGAGCGACACTTTCCAACTGAGCAGGTGATATGGGACTGTCCGTTTTACGCAAACCCTGCCTGTCAATATCTAACTAACAGGGATCATGATTCACTCACAGTTACAATACTCCATGCAAGAGCAGGAAGTGCAGCTTCCCTCAATGGAACACAGATATGTCCCACCATACGTACTATTCTGTCAGTGACACCATACCACTCGGCTTTCGTTACACCGCGCAAAGCTTCGTCAGTCCATTTCGTCCCTGAAACAAGGTCGAGAACTCGGACACGAACAAAATTATCGACGTTTGATGATAAAGCGATTCGAACGAGACCCGTCAATGTTTTCGAACTAGATCCGCAGTCCATTTCACTTAATGCGGTTAGAACAGCTGGATGGCCGGTATTGATGAGAGTTGGTAGGGTCGTAGGTCGTCGCATTCGCAAAAAGGTCACGCAAGAATTGAGGAGGAGGTCGTAGCCCGGTACGGTCGAGGATGACATGAGTGCTGTGCGTGCTACTTGAATAGCTTGAGCCTCAAGTTCTGTACTTTCTGATGTGGTCGAGATTGGAAGATGATTCAAACATTCGATGATCTCCTTCAGTATCAACGGATGAGCTCCATCTCCGTAATGATCGAGTAAACGACCGAATGTAGTTTCCAACCCAACTCGGACACCTGCTGTGATGATGTTCCAATCGACAACGTCCCGGAATAGCCGTTGTAATAGACACAAACGTCCATGCTGCATGTTCATAGAGATCTGCTCGGACGAATCCAGAGTTATGCGCAGTTCTTCCACTACTTCCATGGCTCGAGAAGGTGAGAGAAGAGAGGAAAGAGCTTGAGCGGTGATATGTCGAATTTGCCATTCCTGGCTCCCTATCAAAGGCCATATCGCCTTTGTCAACTCCTTTTGCATCTCGAGGGATGAATCACTCCACCGTAAGCTACGGACGATGATGAGGATTGGAAAAAGAGGGAAATGTTTGTCGGACATTCGAACCGGCGTGGAGTACTTTCGGATGTGTTCGGCAAGGAAAGGGAGAAGAGTTGGGTATCTGGTATGCCAAGAGGAGAATGTTTGGCGAGAGGCGAGAGTGGATTGTAACTCGAAGTAGTCTGCCGATCCTCGCGGAGGAGTCAGAGTACGGTGGATGAGAGAAGAGAGAAGTATGAGACCGGCGTTACGAACGTTCCAGCTAGTCGTCAGTACATGGACAGGCTGATAAGTTTCAGCCATTCGAGTACAGTCACACCATACGAATTCGTCTGTTCGATAGACGCTGGAAGGGATAGGACGATTGAAGAGAAAATGGACTTACTCAGACGACTCAAATCCCCTCAAAGCAACGATCACAGCTCGTTCAAAATACCTATCCAGATATTTTGTCTGTTTAGCGTCGAGCAACACAACTTTCATTATGTTGAAAGCGTGTACTTTTGTTTTGTCGGATGAATCGTGTTCGACTTGGGCAAGATCAATCAATCGGTCGATAGCTTTATCCAGCAGCACGACATTTCCACCAATCAGGGCCAAAAAGCTATAAGGAATGGCGGCTGAACGACGAGTGATGGACAGCTCATCAAGCGTGATCAAAGTAAACTCGTCCTACTATCAGATCAATCTTACCAAACCTGGGACTGGTCGGACTCACCTCTAGCCATTCCTCCTCCAGGCCCACTAATTGCGGACACCACTTGAAAACGTTGACCAATAGAGCAAAGGAAGAAGCTATTCTCGAGAACGTTCCACGATGACGAATTTCCCTCAGCCACATAGTAAACATTCGTCCGGCTTGGTCAACGTCTTTTCTTGACCAAATGCCCTCTGTATAAGCCGAGCACGGCAGGCCGGTTGTGAAGATTGTCGAGAGTAAAATGCTGAGAAAATCAGAGAACTCTTCCAGAGATATCAGACGACTCACCCAGCATTACGTGTAGCTCTCCAACAACCGGAAACTAGGCTAGTATGATCCAAAGTCTCTTCTCCACCTTCTCCGTCATCGTCCTCTCCTAGCACCTCATACGCCCGGGCGATCTCATGTTCCGCTCCGGCGACTTGATTGAGAGATATGACTTTGCGTGTGACCCACCAGATTCTCTGGATGAGCAAGAATAGATCATGAAACATGGGGGACCAGTAGCCTTGTTCTTCTGGCTTCTCCAGGTCGAGACATGATATGAGATCACTTCAATTCAGCCTCAAATTTGGAGATTCATGAGACGAAGAACACACCTGAGTGCGAGAAGCAGGCCATGGAAAGGGCGCTCTTCCATCTCTCTCACTAAATCTTGCTCCGCCAATGAGATGCTCAGTGTGAGAGACTGTATTAAGTCGCTTAGAAACCGTCCTGGGTCCGAGCGAACTCGGAGCTCAGGATTGTACACCAATCTTCTGAAAATGATCACAAGGACTGATCTTCCCGCTTCGGCTTGTGTGGAACGCGGATGGCTGAGATTTCCAATTGCATTTTGTAGCAGCTTCTGGACCTCAGGGGATTCAAGGTCATCCAGTCCCGGAAGAATGTTGGTCGCTTTCTCGATGCTAATCGTCAGTTCCATCACCAGTTTACCGTAGTCCATGATACGTACATCGCTCGCGCTCGATTCCTGATGTCAGAATATTCTGAAGACTGACAGCTCAACAGCGACTGTACGACATCTTCAGAGTAGATTCGCTTCTGGGCCACATCGTTGACGTGGAATCGCGTCGGACCTTTTTCGACCCACCCAAATGTATCCACGTATAGTCCAAAGATGCTGAGGCCGAGTATGGTACGCACAGCAGGATACCGGCGACAGCCTTTCAAGACTGAAGCGATAAATGACTCTAGTAACCAGGAATGAATGCCAGCAGCTTGTGAGAGAGCTAGGTTTGGATCGACGGGTGACATGTGTTGTGCTCGTTTGTGGTTGATCTTTATGCCTTCTGTTGCTCGACGTAGAGAAGCGTGAGCAGACGCTTCCGCAGTTTCCAAATTCAGGAACAAGTTTCGACAAGCCGAAATGAAGTCTGTGCGGGCTCTGCATTCTTAGCGCGCTTCACATGTGGGGCATGAATGACTCACCCTGTGTCAGACAAGACGGAGTTGCATATAAAAGCCTCTTTAATCAGGTCGACAACGTGTGGAGCAAGGAGGTCTTTGGTATTTGTAATGATCTCGAAAGCTTTCAAGCGGATAGAATACTCGGGGTGCTGTATAGCGATTTGCAGCTCTTCGTTGGGGATGTCAGATATGGACAAATGGCCCGTGGTCATGCCGGTAGAAGCTACTGCCACCCATGCTGGGAAGGGATGTCCTTTTGTATTCATTTTGTTTATCGAGAGTAGTCGTAGAAGTGTAGCTGGAGCTGAAGGGAATGCCTTGAATAGGGTAGGTAGAAAATGTCGACTGATCGGACTGGCGGTACTCGCTGGGTCTATCGAAGAAGTGAGGCAAGGCACTAAGATTGAAAGGTCCGGGTTGGGCTTCAGAGCAAGGCATTTGACGATGAGCACGCTACGCTGCATCCCGCATGTCAGAAGATTCAGGTCTTCCAAAAGATTGTCCATGAGAGTTGAGGGTATAGCTCCGCGGGGCATGTGGTCGAACATACACCCCACAGCGATGAGGTCGGCTTTGGTCTTCATTCCACGCCTGATGAGAAAGTCGAAAAGTGCTAGGAAGAAGTTTTGACTGGAAGAGGACGACGACGAAGGAGAAGGTAGGATGGAAGAAAGCTTTGCAGCAGCAGTGAGCACATCGGCGAATCGGAGTGGTGTTGCTTTCCATACTGATTCGAGACCGTCGAGAAGCAAAGAAGCCAGAATGCCTTGAGGTTGGAAGGCGGGTAGCAGCCTCTGATGGGCGATATGCACTACGTCAGGATCAGGAGATGGTGCAATAGAGACAGATGTAATATATTTGAGGATGCTGAGAAGGAGACTGAGCTTTTCAAGGGCGTCGTTTGTGCCGGTAGGAGGTCGGAGGACATTGTCAAGGGCTCTCTCCAAGTCAGTTCTGATAGGTCAGCTGGGTCGATGCGGGTAATACAAGACGAGCTACATGTTGGACGAGGAGGAACCCGAGGGTCTGTTGAGCCTCTTGCGTAATGCTGCTACCTCATCTATGTCACCCTTGTCAGTCATGGTGAGAAGTTGACGGTCGATACACTGTTATAGAGAGAGAGGTTTTAGACGTTTCATTCTCGATCGTCGTTTTGAAATTTTGATTCCGTTCCTCCACTCAGTTTGTCCTCTTTTCCTCTTTCGCACCTGGTCCACTCACTCTATAACTCCCTTGCCCCCTCCACACCTCTCTGTTCTGTTCGGGACAACTTGGCGGAAGACAAATCGATCAGAAGAGACTCCCTCATCGTATATTCTGACCCAAGATGTCGACCACAAGTCCCACGGGGCCTCATGGAGCGGAACAAGAAGAGCAGGATTTCGTTCACCATATCGCCATTGAGCTCTCCCGCTTGCTCAACTCTATCAACCCTAATGACCTACTTGCCAAACGTGTGATAGATATCGCAAAGTACAACAGGACAGGAGACTCGTTTTTGAAAGCTACGGCGGCGTTTGGAAAATTTCCAGAGGATACCATGTTGTCCATGCACTCTCGCATTCTGGCTCATTTGGCAATGTCCCGCGCCACTAGACATCGCTCAGGTTCACCAGATGGTACCAAAGGAGGTGGAGAAGAAGGAGGGATGGAAGGGATGGACCATGAAGCTGGTGATACCCTCGCTGCCGAACCTAAAAGGAAAGGTGGGCTCATGAGGTCGGGCGAAGTACGTCAATCAATCCCCTTGAGAGAGAAAAGAGCTGATGACCAAGTCCGTGGCATACCGACAACCTCAAGGTGCGCGACCTTCTCTACTCGGACTTGACAAACTCGCTGCAGAGAAGAGGGCTGTCGCTGCCGCTGCAGCCAAGTCTGAGCCTCCGAGCAAACGAGTGAAGATGGAGCCGATGGAGGATGAGAATGGAGCCTCCTCTTCTGGTGGCGTTTTCAAGGGTGAGTATCACATGACCTACGCCGTACGTATATTGACATTCTAGTCCCTTCCCTTCCTGTAAAGAGAGAGACGGCTCGTGTGCGACCTGACGAGACTCCCAGTCATGGGGGTGGATTATCAGAAGAGGCTCGTCGTCGACTCGAGGCTAGAAGAAAAGAACGTAATATGCCATTTCCTCCAGCTGTCACCGCTATCAAACCCGATCCGAGTGCGGATAGAAAGCGAGGCATCGAAGACTTCCAGTCTCGAGCGAACCGAGCCACGGTGGGTGGAAGGGATCGAAATGGAGACCGAAATAAGGAGAGCAGTGGGGATCGGCGTGGTCAAAATGGTGCCCCAGGCAAAGGATGGGATGCTGCTCCAACACCACGATCAGTCAAAGTTGAGCGTGAAGCAGATAGCGGGAGTATGAGAGTGCCCAATAGAGGCTGGGACGAGACGCCAAGACCTGGTGATAGAGGAGGTTGGGGTAAAGAAGGCACCGCGGCCAGAAAATGGGACGAGACACCACGAAAGGGAGTGAAACAAGAGGATGAGGATGGCGTACATCTGGATTATAAAGAATGGGAGGAAGAACAAGTTCGACTCGATAGGGATTGGTATACCGTTGATGACGAAGGAGCAGTCGTGAGTTTTTAGTTCATGTCGAATGTTGCGGCTCACCCACAGGCTGGAGACGAAGAACATAACCCTTTCGCTCAATGGGAGAACATGGAGAGGTCAAAAGAATTGGAATTGCAAGCTAAAGCGAATAAACGACAAACTGCTAAACAGGCGCAATTCGTGAGTTGACGCTCTATTGCCTACTGAAAGTACTGGCTGATCAAAAAGAACGCCGACAATGATCTGTGGGAGACGAATCGAATGCTTCAGTCCGGTGTCACGCAACGAGGGGCTGTCGATCTGGACTTTGAAGATGATCAAGATTCCAAAGTCCATGTTCTGGTACATGACCTAAAACCTCCTTTCCTCGATGGTACCATCGCCTATACCAGACAGTTGGACCCTGTCAATCCAGTGAAAGATCCAACCAGTGACATGGCGGTGTTCAGTAAGAAAGGCAGTGCATTAGTACGAGAGCGACGTGAGAGGCAAGAGAGAGAAAAGGTGAGCTTCTAAGATTTGGTTCATATTTGAGCTGACACACCTAGGCTGCAGCGAAGGCCGCATCCCTAGCCGGAACGACGCTAGGCAACCTCATCGGCATCACAGATGAGCCCGAGTTAGGAGAAGGTATGTTCACACAGCTCACAATTGCACTGGCCTAGGGTGTTGATGTTTGCAGAAGGACAAAAAAGCGACGATAAGAATTATAAAGCCGGATCTCAATTTTCCTCCCACCTTCAGAAATCCGAAGGGCAATCTACCTTCGCCAAAAGTCGTACTCTCAAGGAACAGCGGGAATATCTGCCGGCGTTTGCCGTCAGGGAGGAGCTCATGGCTCATTTACGGGATCATCAAGGTCAGCTTACTCTCCAAGAAAACGACCCAAGCTGACGATAAGTTTTGGTAGTCATTGGTGAAACGGGGTCCGGGAAGACCACACAGCTGGCACAATTCCTGTACGAGGACGGATATTGCGCCAACGGAATCATCGGTTGTACTCAGCCCAGACGTGTGGCGGCCATGTCCGTCGCCAAGCGTGTCAGTGAAGAGATGGAGGTAAGTCCATGTTATAGGCTCATAGCCCAGGAAATGACACTCAGTGTGAACTCGGTGATACGGTAGGGTACGCCATTCGGTTCGAGGACTGTACGTCAAAGTCAACGAAGATAAAGTGTAGGTTCAGCTTGCCCAGGAGATGAGGGATTCTGAGCTGAAACAATAGACATGACGGACGGTGTTTTACTACGAGAATCGCTCAATGAAGGAGATTTGGAGAAATATAGTGTGATCATCCTTGATGAAGCTCACGAACGTTCTCTTAGCACCGACATATTAATGGGTCTGTTGCGAAAGAGTGAGTGCGGCCGATGGATTGGGAACCTTCACTGACGCACAGTCCTCACTCGCCGTCGAGATTTGAAAGTTATTGTGACGTCTGCTACAATGAACGCCGAGAAGGTGAGTGGAAGCGCCCCGCCAGGACCATGTGATTTGTTTCGCTGATCAGTAATAGTTCTCCAAATTCTTCGGCAATGCGGCGACATTCACCATTCCAGGTCGTACATTTCCAGTCGAGATTTATCATTCCAAATCACCTTGTGAGGACTATGTCGATAGTGCCATCAAACAAGTTCTCCAGCTTCACCTATCCATGCCTACTGGCGACGTATTGGTATTTATGACTGGTCAAGAAGATATCGAAACTACGTGTGCAGTCATTGAAGAGAGATTGTCTCAACTTGACGACCCTCCACCAATAGCTGTTCTTCCCATTTACTCTCAAATGCCAGCCGATCTTCAAGCCAAGATCTTTGAACCTACTTCAGATGGGAGACGGAAAGTCATCGTGGCCACCAACATCGCGGAGACGTCACTAACAGTTGACGGTATTCTCTACGTGGTCGATTCCGGTTATTCAAAGTTAAAAGTGTACAATCCGAAAGTCGGCATGGATGCTTTACAAATAACACCTATTAGTCAAGCCAACGCAGGACAAAGAGCTGGACGTGCAGGACGAACAGGACCCGGGTGAGCTAATCTCTCTATCTTCTCAGGTCGTGCTCATAATTTTCAGATTCTGTTATCGTCTCTTCACCGAAGTCGCTTATCTGAACGAACTATTCCCCAACAACATCCCCGAGATACAACGTACCAATCTTGCCAATACTGTCTTACTTTTGAAAACCCTCGGAGTTAGAAACCTTCTCGAATTCGATTTCATGGATCCACCACCTCAAGAAAACATTTTGAATTCAATGTACCAACTTTGGGTACTGGGTGCTCTTGATAATGTTGGAGATTTAACTCCTACCGGTCGTAAGATGTCAGATTTTCCTATGGAACCATCATTAGCAAAAATGCTTATCGTCGCTACCGATTATGGATGTTCTAGTGAGATGCTCACTATCGTTTCAATGTTATCAGTACCTTCGGTATTCTATCGACCGGCTCAACGAGCGGAAGAGAGTGATGCTGCTAGAGAAAAGTTTTTCGTACCTGAATCGGATCATCTGACTTTGTTGCATGTGTACACTCAGTGGAAGAGTAATGGGTGAGTTTCTCACGCCGCTTCTTTTCCAATTCTTTCATTCTCCACATGATCCGTCAGTGATGGTTCCAGCTGACGATTTCTCAGATATAGCGATAGATGGTGTATGAAACATTTCCTTCATCCGAAACTTATGCGAAAAGCAAGAGAAGTGCGAGGTCAATTAGAAGATATTATGAAAACTCAAAAGATGGAGGTAGTGTCTTGTGGTACAGATTGGGATGTTGTACGAAAATGTATAACAGCTGGATACTTTCATCAAGCTGCCAGAGTTAAGGGTATAGGGGAATATATGAATGTCAGAACTGGTGTAAGTTCCTTCTATTGTCATTGACTAGTATCAAGTTGACTTATTAGTTACCTTGTGTTTTACACCCCACTAGTGCACTTTATGGTTTAGGTTGTGAGTCTAATCTCTCTCAGATTTCAGATCATTGCACGAACTTATGTGATAGATATGCCAGATTATGTGGTATACCATGAACTCGTTCTTTAGATTGTCACTGCTCATGATAGCGGTGTCATAGCA